GTATGAAATATATGTATTAATTGCATGGGCTCCTGTGTGGATGCCTCGATATATCTGTGTTCTAGTTATAGCGGAGATGATATAATACAAGCGATAACGCCTAAGCTGACTCTATTACTGTAGAACGCGGTGAAAAGTTTTTTGAAAAGTGCACTCGTCGTTCATATTTGACTTTTAAAAATCTCTTAGTTCGTTTTTAACGCTTTCTTCCCCACGCAGACCAAGAGCTAAACACGACATTGCGGAGCTTTTGTGTTTAGTGGTAGAGTCTCCCCAGAGGGTCTACAAGTTCTGAGCTTCCAGTGAAGAGGATGCTGGTCGTCTGAGAAAGCAACTCCTGCCAGGCGTTTTCAGGAGTTAACATGTCCATTCAAAATAGTTTTAATGAGAAGGATCGTAGGTACACCACTGATTCTGCAGAGCAAAGTATCGTAGTCTCTTTTAAGCAACCCGGGAAAGAATAAGGGGAACCGTCGAGGAGAACATGTAAAATGCGGGAGTTTGCTAATCACGATAGAAGGGGCTGAGTTTCACCAGCTACTTCAACTTTCAAACAAAATAAGTTAGCTGGAAAATTCTGCTGGAAATTATTAGGACATAGAGGGACAGGGAAATGTTTGAAAAAAGCCACAAGCCGAGAAGTGTCACATTTAAAACATCTCCTAATATGCAGCCACAGAACAGGAACCGCAAGATTCAAGTAGTTTACATGAGTTATTTCAACAATTAAAATCAAGGTTTCTAGTCCAACATTTTGAAGAATGAAGCACAAGGCCATTTGCGAAAGACCGTCTTCTAACAGAGGACAAGGAACGGTCCAGTGCAGAAAAAAGTTATTGAGGCCCTCAGGTCATCGGCATATTTTACTAAACTGGTGCCAGCTGAAGATGGCGGGTCATACGGAAAGAAGGAGAAAGGACCGGAGGAGAGAAATTCACCCTGGTGTAGCACTAGCCTCAGTAAGCAATGAGATGGAGCGGTTCCCGTTGTGACCGGCAAGTTGTTTTCCTTCGAATAAATAGGAATATAGCCAGCCAATTACCCAGAACACAGTATGTGTTCTGGGACAAAATCAAATCCCTTAGTATAGTGGAAAGATGCACGCCTGATGCATCTGACATTTCTATGGAGATTACGGCCAGTGTTGTGATGTAAGACAGTGGTGGCATCCAGAGCTCTTTTTTGCTTTTGCACGCAGGTTGATCAGGATCCCCAAAAACTTCCACAGAGGGCTCAGGCAAAAGTACTATTAGCCGTTCCATTATTTTCAAGGGCGGGAAGGTAACCACAATTGAACGGAATCTCGAACGTGAGCCTGGAGTCACCGACTGTGTTGTGGAAACTATCACAGTACCTTCCCAGGTAGCTGGTACATCATTCAGGGAAAGAAATTCATTTAACATGTCACGTGGTGGATAACATAATGCGCCAGGGAAATTTCGTCAGTATGAAAACTGGAGTGCCATCCAGACTCAAACTGGGATTCAGGGTTCTAGACGCTTGATGACATCCTCCCCAGTTAATTTAGGGGCATATTCTTATTTGGAAATAGGCAGACAGGGTGGGATGTGGCGGCGCAGATAACGCATAAACGATCTATTTAGAGTAGAGACATCGACACAAGCCTCTGCACTACGTTTACATCTACTGATGTCCCCAAAAGTCTCCCTGTGTTGAAAGTGCCTTCGCACGATAAAGGCCTCTCGCTGCGTGTTAGATTCAGACGCTGAATTTCTAACTTTATTCAGCGATTCAATCAATGAGCACCAGTGTTATAAATTACTTCCTCTTTCCCTTTGTAGTCTTTTTAGCCGAGATATAGAACAATAAAGTTCCAGGCAAAACCGGAGATAGAATGTCACAGTATCGATGGTACCGTCTAAACGCTTGCTGTCAAATACGCTCAGGTGGGCACCTTGTAGCATTCCTGTTAGTCGGGGTACGTTACATTGTGAACAGCTTCTGTGCACGATGTCCGTTTACCAATATATCAAAGTTGTCCTGCATAGTTTCCTATATATTTTGGGTAAAGCACGTATAACGCAATGATCTCGGTTGAGCAGCCGGGTTTTCCTTCGAGTTTCTAGTGCCTCAGTATCATTTGGGAGTACCAAGTCCAGTGTTGGATCTTGACGTGTTGTGAAGCCAAAAGAATTACGATGAGCAAGAGTTCTGAGATTGCTGTGGTCACGTGACCTAAAATGACCACATATTATTAACAGGAAACCACATAGTGTAAGGGCTGCAAAATCAGACTCAGATTTCATGAATTTGGGGGGGATACAACTCCGTGAGCCTGTATTAATCCTTTTCCGGTTGGTCTATGTGCTTGTTCAGCCCTCTTTTGGACGGGTCATTTGATGGTGCAGACGCCACTTCTTGTAGTTAGTTCAAGTTGATAACTTGGCGCAAGAACCAGTCCCATAGGAAGACCAGAGTTAACCTCGGCTCTTGTATTCTCCTGCTATGTCCTGTCAGCCGTTCCAACTCAGTGTCGAGGAAAAGGGGGGGTAGGTCAGTCCTAAAGCCATCTCTCAGATCCTGTACAACATTTTTAGGTCTCCTGTCCATCTGCAGTAAGACAAAGAGAAGAGGCTCGGTTCCTGAAGTTGATTTTCGTGCGACAGGTCAACGATCGCTAAAATCATACGAGCGACCATCCTCGGAGCTCTTTCCAAAAGGTCTGAGTCACCTCTCAGTCAAAAGTTCGCCATCCATGTGAAGTTTCCCAGCTTAGACATGACTGAGGATTTGAATGCCCTGATGAGCGTATCGCCAATCACTTTTGTAAGCCTTGTGCGTAATCCCCAAGGTGTCCTAGAACATCAAGCTGCTACCAAGTAACGGCTTGCAACCGTTTTCAAATCATAACTTACTGTGAATCTCAGTTTATCGTGTGTCAGTACAGAGGGTAGAGGAGTCCTGTCAATATCGCAGGTGTCGCCAACCGTGTGCTCCTTACGCACGCCCACACATTTACCCTCGTGGATTGGCACAGGCTACTTCTTTGACGGGGTAGCCAAGCTATTTAGGTCTGTCTGAAGTGGACATTAATCGTCACCATTCTTATTACCTACGAGATTTTTGTGTCGTCGCAGTGGAGAACTGTGGGGGACTTCGTGGTGTTCAGCAACTCACATATGAGAGATGGCAAGGGGTCCAGGACTCTACCTCGCAGGTTTCCACTCTCTGCCGACTTCCAAGACAGCAGCTGAGAGTTGATCCTTACTCCCCGTCTACTATCGGCAAGGAACCCCTTTATCCATGCAAGTAGATTGCCAGAGATTTCAAAACGTCCCGGCTTCCCAAGCAACCTAGAGTGAGATACCTTGTCGAAGACCTCACCAATGTTAGGGGAAATGACGCCTACACGCAGCCGATTATTCTCCAACTTAAACCAACCTTATATAACTGTGAGAAGGTTTGTCAGGCAGCAGAATTTCTGTGAAAGCCATACTATGGACGATACTGTAGATTGTTGCCGTCTAAGTGAACTGTGATGGCTTTCTTGCTTACGCTTTCTAGAACTTTCACTTCTGTACTGGTCGGGCTTAAGGGTCTGTAGAACCCGCTTTGTAGACCGGTATGATTTTGGCTCCCTTCCAATCTGAGAGGAGTGTACCTTCGCTGAGGGACAGTTTACATACAGTAGTCAGTGGGCCGACTACGTAGAGTGAAAGCTCTCTGAGCAGCCTTGGGTGCAGTCCAACCCGTCCCGTTGATTCTTCTAAATCGAGGGTGCCTTATGCCTTGAGTGCACCATTATAGTTGATGTACACGGAGTTTATTCTGTTGGATGTCTATGCCTCTGTTGTTGGATTAGTGCCCGAAGAAGGTTCTCGTGTAAAGGTCTCGGTAAAACATGTAGCCATGGCCTCCGCTTTTTCCCTATCGTTCCCGATCAAACGATCAGTTTCTGCCCCTTTTATTGGGGTGGGTATACCACGATACATCTTATTTCCATGGTTCAAATAATAAAATAACCCCTTTGAATGTTGCAATGCAGCTTGGGCAAGGCGCGTTCCTAATCATATCTCAGACCGACGGGTAGCAGAGATACGTTTCCTTTCGGGATTATTTGGGATGCTTCATCACCTCGGGAGTACTGGGATGGGTGGCAAGATTCCAAAACTTTTAACTACGTTGTAGCGAGGTTAGGATCTCTAAGCTTATCAGTGGAAAACAATGTTTCCGTCCCCCGGAGCAGTCCACGGAATGAACGGTAGAGTCGCTCCCCCGCATAGCTGTTTGAAGGGGCACCGTGCGGTCTCAGCTGAGGCTTCTGGGTTGACCGTCCAGTCCTCCGAAGAGGCTGTCATGAATAGGTTAGAGAAACCAGATTATTCGGGGTAAGTACAACCAGTATCATATATATATATATATATATTAGTGACAAAAACAAATCGGTATCAGCAGAGATGCTTTGGATGTTATTTTACAGTGATGCGGTGTATGTAATCATTTGAGAATATGAAGCGTGTGTAACTAGAAATGCACTAGTGGGTATCCATAAAGGCAGCTTCACTACTTCATCATATCTTACACAGTCCCATCGGTCCTAACGGGGAATTATGAGGCCAGTACTAGGAACCAACTTCCCATCGAAGAGACCATGTAACCAATTTTCTAGTGATGTTATGACTCCAGCATTACAGAACTGATTAGAGGGTAGAAGAGATGAAAAAGCTTGCAGCTGGGGCCTGGAAACAAAGTTATTCACTTTAAAGCGCATCACCAATCAATGTGATGCTTCTTCATCTTATTGGATAAAATCTTCGCAATAGATTGCAAACCTTTTCAAACAAACAATTTCTCATGCTCCTACCATGCGTATTCGGTGTTTAAAGATGATTTTTCAACTTAGGGAAGTCATACTCCACAATTGCTATATTAACTGTCTTCCGATACTTGCTATTAGATTTAGGTATTGAGGCAACTAGTTTATATTGGATATTTGTTTTGTTACGTACTTCCAGTCGTTACAGTTTCAAATAGCTAACATGGACAAAGGTGTGGTGCAAACTAAGCTTGCCAGGGTCAGTTTCATTTATCACTAAGTAATAAACTTCGTACAGGTTAAATCGGTTGTGGGTAGAACTGGGTCTCAAGGCCAATGTACGCAGGTCCGGGTGGAATTTCTGGACGATACTAACCGAACTATCATTCGAAACGTGAAAGGCCCAATTCGTGAAGGTGATATTCTAACCTTGCTAGAGACAGAAAGAGAAGCAAGAAGGTTACGTTAATGTTATTTCAATAAATCTTTTCAACCGGGTTAGTTGCAAGTTTTTAATTCCTTGTTGATTCTGATAATGATGTTGCTTTGTGCGAGCTGCGATGTTTTATCCATTTCTAGTCATGTCATACAAAAGCCTTATCGGTCAAGTATTTGTGTTACTCATTGAAATGGTTGACAAAGTTTTCTTTGCGTTGCCTGGGTTCTAAATGGGTTTATGTCCAGTAGGCTGTGAAGGAGACATAAAACCAGAACGCTTATGCTAAAATTAGGTCTACCTTAAAAACCATTCATAAGAGTAGCTGCTACCGCTGAATCACGTGAAATCCTGTTATCGGGTTGGTATCGAGCATGACATTGTGTTGTGGTGCAACTAGTTCGTTTCTTTCCTACCGGATGGACATGACAAGACCGGTGACCTATAATTGACATGAAGTTCGCTTTAAGTCTGAGGTACACCACGGCAGGCTTAAACAGAGTTACTGTCCGGGGTGACTATTTTCGGTATGGTCTGACTACTTTTTTTTTACATGGGATGCATTCGCTCACAAAATATTTTCCAGTGAACACGTTATCTCGAATTGATTGTTTCCGCATGGTTACCCAAGATTACGTAGAACAAAAAATCAGCCGGAGGGGAACTCATGACATGACGATTGCAGGACTCGCCACGCACCCGAGGTCATTCTGCGTTTCTATTGTCAACCCAATTGCAATGAGTTACCCTTCAGTCGTAAGTTGATTCTGTTGTTTTTGAGCCTGGTGAATAACGTATTTGTGGAGCTATGGGTCTGGTTTAGGGAGATGACTTTCAACCAGTTGGTCACGATTTGAATCTCACTCCACCTACCGAAGTCTGGGCAGCCAAGTAGTATCTGTAACCACCTTGTAGGTATGACTCATCGCTTACTGCATGAGTGTGCAGAAGGTTGTTTTCGCTTGAGGTCTACCTGAAATCTGAATGTCTTAAGATAGTAGGATCTCAAACTTTTCCCGAGGCCCATTCTTGTGATTATCAAAGATGTTTCTCTTGATTACTGGAGCAGTCAGAGAATGTCACGTCAAAGGTATTTCATTTGACTCCCACCGACTCTTAAGCATCAAAATAGGACTAGGCATACCTGCATCGTGGTTCAAGTTGGACACCTCATACCAGCACACCAAGCAGGAAATGATGAAAGATAAAGAATTGGGGAAGGATCGGTCAGTAGTTGTACAAGAGGAGGGAGAAAAGGAAATATCGAATTCAGACTGATGATTAAGGTGGCCAGACTGTGTGGATACATCTGCGCTACTGCTGTGGGTCTCGAGCCATATCACTTAGGATGGCAAACCACTGGGTTCTGTAGTCATGCTGATAGCTAGCGGTTCAGCTAATATAATCGGCAATCCTTGGTCACCTTCCTAAAATATCTCTTGCTAGCTGCTGCTGTTGCTGCTCTCAACCGTTTCAGGTTATTCTCAACCACTACAACTTCGACAGGGGTTCTGGAGATTATTTCGACACTACTTCGAATGTGACAATAGCGGGTCACCATTAATTAGATCCGAACCAGCTAGTGTTTTGGTGTCTCCCTCGCGAGGTAGTTGTAAACCTGTCCTTCTTAACTATCGTTTCACTTGATAAGTTTCGGTAATGTATCGTTGTGCGCCACCGTTTACAGTTGTTTCAATGATTTTTCAGCAGACATTTGGGTTGATTGGGTTCATCAGTGTGTCTGTGTCTGCAGAAGCACAGTAACGTGTCTTCTACTTCAGAGGCAGCTGCAGATACCGACCGACTTCTCCTGAGGGTCAGTTAAAGTTTCCAAGGCTATTTTCACATCAGACTGGCGTTGGCACCAAGCCTTTTTTGAATGAGTGACATTTTTCTGTCCTGGCTACTATTCAACCTGCTTGTTGAAAGTAGCCTTTCCGATGATGGAGCTATCCTATGGATTGCTTCCCATCCGTCGTCCTACCTCTGTTTGAGCCTGCACATACACATTCTTGATAGGACACATGTTCACTCTCCACTCATGTGCTCCAGAAGCAGCAGTAATCTATCACCGCCCCTCCTGTCATTGCTGTTGATATGGCCTATCTGTGTTGAGGCCGATGATGTCTTGTCTAACAATGTCTAAAGTTCGTACTAGCAGGAAATGACTGATTTTTTAGTAATCAACAGTAATAGGGAATCTCCATTGTCTGTTTGTCCAGCTATGATTCCGAAAGTAATACCTGACAGCCCACCCATTTGAGCATTGAAATCACCTCTTATGACAATCGTATCTGAACAGTTTTCAGTGAGCGGGTAGACAGATTGTGTTAGAACTCGCATTTTACTCATTTTAACCGCGCATTTTTGGGTAACCTTTGCCGTACCATGTTTATGTCCTGATGATAAAATGACTGTAGTCAGTGGGTGCCTGAGGAGAGATAGCAAAAAGCTGCAAGTTTCTTTGTCCAATTGATTTTCGCTACACCATTTAGTCGAACAATGCACAGGCTATCGCCAGCTGAGATCCAGTCGTACAGTACACTTTCTGCTGTGGCACTTGATGTTATACTTACAGCTGCAAGATTGCGATAACTTGTCACCGAATCTGCTGAAACTCAAAGGGTAAATTTAGCAGATTCCTTATATTCATCATGTGAAGTTGAGTAAGTAACCGCACTTGGATCTTCTTTGTGTCTCGCAACACACAGCAGCAGCACACATCTATGACCCGAGGTATCAAAGTTTTGACCAGAGAGGCTCACTGTTTGATTTGATGGAAGGTGTGTAGAAACATCGGGACCTCCGATGTGCAGATTTGAAGCCTGTTCCTGGAAACCGGCGGTGCTATCAATTGAGCTCAAATCATTGTCAAGGGGTGCAGAGCCTCACGAACTTGAAGGTGATGTAGGTGTGCCAACCGAAGGATATTAAGCAAGATGGATATATAGAAGTGAACTGGTGATAGAATTATTTTTCTTCCTTTTAAGAATTCCAGTCAATTGACGTCTGCATACTATTCTTTTCAGAAACCATTCGCACGAACAAAGAATATTCTTATCGATAACTTCTTCAGGATTATGTGTAAACAATATTGAAATTTCGCTTATTAGTTTACACAGTTGAGGAAGTCAATTGAAAGTCTTATGTGAACGTTAGTGATAGAACCAATTGTTACTGGGGTTCAATTTGAAATAAATGATTATACTGTCTAGGTAGTGCGTTGAGGTAAAAGTTTGATCAAACAACAGGAAAGTGTTTCTGAGAGTTGAATGGGTTAAACAAAGAAAGATGATTTGGGGAATATAACTCATTGGAGAACAAAATAGGCAAAGAGAATTTGTTAAAATTATTTCATATCATAGGGATGAGGAATTATCTACAGTATGGAATTAGATTATTTGGGATGGGGTACTAATGACTGCGCATCCCGGATTGGGACAGTTGTTGTAAAGCCAACACTTCCTTATTTTGAAAACACAACTTAGGGCGTTTGATCCTCATTGCTGCTGCTTCTGAACTTCGAAGGACCCTGAGCCAGGTGCTTTTTAACTTGTTGGTTTGGAGGAACTGTCTTCCGAAGGAAGCTCAGAAATTTTCTCAGTACAGTCAGCAGTTAGTAATTGAATATTAAGTCAACTAGACATATCCAGGGCTGGACGTAACGGCATGTCAGGTTTTACAAGTTTTAGGTATTCCGGAGAGACTGATGTTCGAACCATTTTTCATTCATTTCAAAATTCTAGACAGTTGACGTTCAATTCTCTTTGTACTTTCCTTTTCATTTTTTGTTTTGGAGAAGCTGCTTTCATCTGAAATAAATTCAGAGATTTTCTCAATGTAATTTCTGTTCGTCAGGACAATATCAGCACCTTTATCAGGGCGAGTTATTGTGATTTTGCTATTATGCTTCAGTTATTTCAGTTGGTTGGTTGGATGACTAAACTGTTTTGGTCAAGTGTTCAAGAATTGTGAGAAGAATCAAGTGATGTGAACCTGAAGTATTCTAGATATGAAGCAGTTAGATCATCCGTTTGATAGAGATTCTCAAACTGGACCTAAGTGTGGAGTTTGTTTGACTTTGATTTACAGGCCAGGTATATTTAGGCCCAAGTGATAGAATTTGTAGTTGAATTGGTGAAAGGTTTGCAGAAGACTAACTGAAGACGTATTTCTCGGGTGATATTCGGGAAATGTGTGTCACGTTCGATGACTTCAGACTCATCGTGAGCTTATCATTGGCGCTTTTACATCTGTAGTCAATAACTAAGTTCATATAGTTCTTGAATTCGTGTCGGTTATTGTCTGAGAGTTCATAAAATGAGTGATCTGTGCACTATGTTTCTGTCTAATTCAGGTAAACGCGATCGAATTTTGTCGATGAGGTTCGTTGTATGACGTCTGAGTATTCATTAGTTTGTGTATATGTGATTGTAGTGAATTGATTTTGGGAAATGTTTAGGGTGTTTGTAATGTTCACTACAGCCTTCTAGGGAACGAATCTCATTGTTTACTAATGCAAGCTTGACGGAGTAATGTAGAAAACCGTTCATTTCCTTCACCGTCAGATAGTCCTTGCTGCCACTCAAAGATTTAAATATTCAAAGAATAAAGACTTCAGCCACCAGATTTATTTTCAGCGAATTCATCTTCAGCTGTACAACTGCACTTAAATATAGTTAGCGTACATAGAAATGCCAATATTTCTTAGCAGTTTATAGCTATGGAAATAGTATAGGAATAGAAATTACGTAAGAGATGTGAACTGGTAAGTTTCAGAATTAGGAAGTGAATAGAACACAGAATGGCAAAGTCGCTTCTAGATTAACAGCTCGGTTTCAATTGTCGTATTTACAACGCTTCAGCAATGTAAAGTAAACGCTTTTTCATACCCTTCAGGAAATTGCATTGGGATTGGTAAACTAGCGCAAACGAATCTTCTGGAAGTGTGTCCGCTGTCAACCAAGGGTTGTAGTATGGAGCTGTTAACTCATCTACGTTGACCTTTACCGAGCCACGTCGGAAGATGTTGACGTTGGAAAACCTGCCTTTGCATGTACGACCTATGCACCTAGGTTCACAGAAGCAGGTGTATTGACAAATGCGCATTGAAGTGGCTACCAGTGACAGTTTGTCCTTCGCACATATGTTCACCATTGGGTGACTAGCATAAGTGATGTGCGGGGTGGTTGCCTAAAATGTTCTTTTGGCAGTCTTCATTGGTCTGCATTTAAGTTCCTAATTTGCTACATCTCCACTGAGTTTCAAGATCAAGACGATCTTTTTTTCTACATTGATAGGAGGCTGATGAGTAGTATTCCGATGTAGATTCTTGTCTAAGAGTCTCTGTGGGTCTCTATTTGCGATGAACGTTGATCTAGGAAGTTGCATTTTGTCTCCTAAATTATCGGGAGTACTAATCTTCCAAACTCGAGAGGAAAGGAAATGGATTGAATTTGTTTTTCGGCTGATGGAATCTCAACTGTGAAAGTTTGTCATTTGTCCATTCCACATAGGTTTCCGACAAGTGGATCCTTAAAGAGTCCCATCATCTCTTCCTGTTCACAATACGTCGAGGAGTGGTATGTTTGAATGTGATTCCATCTCTATTGTAAAGTTGATGGAGGAGTGACATTCGTTGGGAAATTGAAGTCACAATAAATGGATCATCGATAAATCCTTTATAGAATTTAAACTACCTGGTAACCGGACTAAGTATGGTTGTTTCGAGTTTGGCCATAAATATACCTGGTGACAGTTGACCTATTATTCTCCACAACGCCAGCTCTAATATTTTGTCACCTTTTCTCCACCTATGTTCGACTTTAGCTCGCTATGGCATTTGATACTGTGATTGTTTTTACTTTTCATTCATGACACTTGGTAAGTAACCTAAAATTTTTCTTTATCCTTACGTGTGTAATAATGTTACGGTATTCCAACGAAATACTGTTAGGTTTTCTACGTAGCCTGGGATTTTTCTTTGGAAAAATATTACGGCATGCAACTGTGTGCTCACCAATCGTTCTGAAATGAAATCCAAATCACACTTAACGAAATTTATTCACTGCATAAACGATATTTTGGTTTCTTTCTCTTGTTCAAATAAAATAACAATTAAAAATGGTACAGGATAGTGTCCTTCCCATACAATTGCTAATACATAATTGTTGATGTAGAGTTTTTGACATTGACCTTGTTTTTGTTATGTACATTATGTTTCCCGTCAAAGATATCCACTCTTCATTTTAATCAAATTATGCAGGTCTCCTTCTTACCATCTAACCTAACAGCGATGGATCGTATCACAGGAAGCTCCTTAGTAGATCTACAGTATACAGAAAACCTAGTATTGATAGTTGGAAACACTAACAGGATATAGAGTCTGGTGGGGAAATTAAGTGGCAATTTGGGAATGCTTGGACCAGTCTTTGACTAATTTCGCTTAGCTTAGCTATTTTGCTTCGTTTTTCTCTTTTAAAGCTTACTTTTTATGTGTTCAGGTAACTTTATTTGTCGATGACTTCATGACCTACCATTGATATGCATACGCTAATGAGAGAAATCATAGATCTTCTACTGCCATTAGACGGACAAACAACAACTACTCTTCCCTTAGTGAAATATTCAAAATTAGTATTGGTTGTTCAAAACAAGAATAATTTGAGCGAACAGTTGTTTTCCGTGACTTCTTCAGGTTCTACAGTTATAAATCCATGGGAAGAGGTGAAATACAATGACCTGAATGAGGTATAATATAAAGTTATTCCAATACCGAAATGGTCAGTGTTAAGAGTGAATGCAGATTTAATCAAATGGAATTTTTATTAGGAATAGTCATCACTCTAGTGCTATGTTGTGCGATAAAATTTATATATGTAGATGTTCAGAATAAAGCCTGTATTCATTAGTGAAGCAATAAGTGAGAATGATGAAGTAGCATCCAAAAACTAATAATGACAAAAGTAGGTGAACATGTGAATTATACGTCTGAAAATAATGTCTAGTGGTTAGGGAAAACATGATTCATGTATGGAAGACATGTCCCTATTCTCGACTAACTGGAGCTTATAAACAACAAACTCGAGAAAACTAGGCGGGTTTCAGACCTGAACGAGATTGCATCGAACAAGTCTTCACCCTTCGTTGGGTTCTAGAACACAATTATACTTACCGGCCATATGTCGACATTTGTTGACATGAAGGTGGTACTGGAATCTGTCGGACCGTGAGGTGTGGCAGAGCCTGAGAAGGTATAAAATGCTAATCATAGTTCTCTACTGGAAGTTATGCAGTCGTTTAAGGGCTCACAGGGAGTTGTTATTTGAATTAACTACTAATGTTGTCCGTCAAAAATGCTGGCTGTCAACGATCCCTTTTCAACTCCGTTATAGATGTACTAGTGGGAATAACCTTGCGTACCTCTGACTTCACAGGAATTGATCTACTCCCTGGAGGTCAACTGGTTTACTTGAAATGTGTGGACAATATTGTCGTAATAGGTGAAGACGCTGACAAAATACGGGTCATATGAACTGAATATGGCGAACAGATATTTGAGTATGGTTGGAATGCGTTTCACACCTATCAAATGTAACATAGTCCTTAAGAACTGATCTGCACCAATTCCCATTTTGAGGATAAGGTGTGAAGAGGCGGAATGCGTTCACCAATTCATTTTCTTGTGTAGTTGCACCAGTCCGAACAGGTTGAATGCTGACGAAACCTTCGCTCGGATATGGAAAGCCTGTCTATCGTCTGACAACTTGAGTCATCTGTAGCGAGATTCCCATCTACTTCTTAATGGACGGGTATACTGTGCTGCAGTTTATTCTGTCTTATACGACTATGAAACATGGCTGTTAAGAGTAGAATATATGAGAAGACTACATGTTTTTGACCATAAATGTTTTGGTAGCATTGGTCACGTATGGTGGGACCTTTATATCGATAAAATGGAGGTTAGGCGAACAGTACTAGAGAAGGAAAGCAAGGCAGTCAGTAAAATTGTGAATCTTCCCGGACTTAGGGGCACATGTTCTTAACATACTGCTGTGATATGTGGATACTTGGATCGATGCACTTGTATGCTAGGTTCTGCGTTGTTTTTCCAGCTGTATTAGTGTTTGCAAACCTACATCAGCTCTGGCACTGGTGATATCTGACTACCATTCAGAAGAAGACTATAGTGTGCAGCAGTCCACTCTGTTCTATCGTACTAAAATGAGCGTGGGCCGCTGAAAGTAGAAAATATAAGTAGTTCACATGTTCATAACCACAAGTTTCTCCGCACCCTTGCTGGAACCACGGAGTGAGGAATAGGAAGTCTAGGCGTAGATTATCAAACAACAACGGAAGATCGCTTGATGTGAACTTTCATCGAATGATGATATAGCTTGAATGTGTTTTGAAAACATTATGTCACTGCTTATCTTGACGTACAATGTTAGTCGAAGCAGGAAGAATACAAGTGGTCAGACCAAGACGATGTCAATTCATGCATTCTTCGACTATTGATCTGTAACGTGTAGAGGGCAGTAGGCTGCCGAATTCAGGTTTTCAAGACGATAGGAACCAGTCGCTTGGAATTCTTGGTGATTTGGTTGAAAATAGTGAGCCTTCATCAATTCAGATAGCTGAGATACGCGTTACGCATGCCTAGTCACCGTCTACCTCGTCGTGCTTTTGACCGATTTTTCTTCATCTTACTACGTTTTTACTAGTTGTACTGATATGAGGTGTGGCGACTTGGACCATTACGCAGTAGTGCTTGGTCCTATATTGACACTGACTGATTGTGTTGAACAGAGGAGATAACAGAGAACTGATGGACAAAAATGAGAGCCTAGGATTTCCTACATAACTATCTGTTTATACTCTCATCATGTACAGAGTCCTAAGGTTCGCAAAGAATGACTTAATGTCTGAATGGTTGATTTATCTACTAAGGCTTATGTACAGCAGGTGCTAATATTTCCTTTTGCTAATGAACTTTTCTGAAATAAATTCTAATGCTTACAATATGCGGAAAACAAAGCAAGATTTGTGTGGACCCTGAAGAGTTGAAATGTGAAAAGAAGATAGATAAATCGTACTCGAATACAGTTAGGCATAATCAACGATTTCTTTCTGCTTGAGGTCTAGTAGTACTTAGGGAATTACTGTAGCTGTTATCTCGAGTAAATAATGATGGTTTTATGCTGCCTGCATACCCGAATCTGCTTCTTCGGCAGTTCTTGATATAAGAAAGCAACACAGTGTATCAGTATTCATCTCTTACTGATTATTTCAATTTTAAACAGCTGAACACATTAAATATTGCATGGTAAATATAAAGAATTAGAAGGAAGATATTTTCAGAAAAGTCAAGTAAATATGTATGTATATATGTAATCAATAGTAAGTATGAAAGTGGTAGATAAAAATAAGCAAACAAAAAATCACAGTAAATGAGTCAGTAGTTGTTACTGTACTTAGACAAATTCATTTACATACCTATGCGAATACAAAATAGTTTCATGAAATTAGAATACAATGGTACACAGAACTTGGCTACATTTTTCGTATCCCTCTATCGTTGTATGCTATTTGGTCTCTATTAATTTCTTGTTCATCATCAATTTGTTCATCTTTTTCATCTGAGTCAATTTCATCCATTGGTTCGTTTACAATCGCCTTCTCTTCTTCCTCATCTTCTGGTATACGATTTGAGGTCGGTTGATGCATTAACATAGCAGCTAATTCTTGTTTCGCATGCTGTTGATTCAATTCCAACATTTGTTGCAGTGCATTCTTAATAACACGGAAATTGAACTCTATTAAGCCTGAAGAAAAAAGAAAATGTCACTGCATACAATTAAACAGAAATGAATTTGTAAAAGGTAAAAATATGATCTCACAATTTATCATGTGTACGCCACAGATGCAAGTTGTAAACTCTCATTCACTGCTTACTGAGACTTATAATTTTTTGTTGTTATACTGGATCGAATTGACCGACCTCTGTCGGTATATTGGCTGCTAAGTAGATACCTTGACATTACTTGAATATTCATTTCCATTCATTTTGAATAGTATTGTCAAGTGAAGCTGGGAGGTAACGAATACCTTTAGTCGACAGTAGCTCTTCCAGTATACTTCACTTAGCTGTTTAGCTCACATGACGTCCATCCTGTATTCTTTACATACTGCTGGTGTATGAACTTGGATTCTGTGCTAAATTGGACAGTGAACTTCACTAATAAGAACTTTGGTACGCTAGTTATGGATGACGTTTATTCAAATGAGTCCAGTTATACGATGTTTTATCCGGCGGTTGTTTCAGTTACTAGGCACTTTCTATGGATAAGCAAATACAAATTTAATTGGAAACCAGACTGGAAAAGAGAATTTCCAGTTGGTAAGATGAATTAAAAACATCCAATTAAATGCGTATTTCGTCCTCCTCAACTTTTCACCTTCGTTTGAAGTTCTATAATTGTTGACTTGGCAAACGATAGTACTAGCAAGATTTTGTTGAAATGGCAAGTGGATGTTAAAACCGTTAATTTTTTCCTCTTGGTTTCCTCAAATTTTCATAAACTCTTGATGGATGTTCATTTCAACGGTCCCTATAACCTCTAACATGGAGAAGTTTTCTCAATTTGCGTAAAAATGACCTCTTACGACTTATGTGAAGCTGTGGCTCATTGGTCCAGGCACTTGACTTTCAACCGATCAGTCAAATTCGACCCCGACTCCGCCTAAGAGATCTGGGTAGCCAGGTGGTATCACAAGCCTCCAAGCAACAGGCGGGTCTCATTGCCTACAGCAAGAACATGCATGTGGCTGCTGAGTGAATTTCAATTTTGAGTTATGACGGGCACTCGAAATGAGAAAAAAGTAGCATCCAGCATTTGTCGGAATCTGTATTAATCGAACCCAAAGACTGACAGCAGGAAGACTGTCAGTCCAACACTATAAAATTGTTGGCTTACTCTTTATCAATCTTTGGAGATGATAAGAATGCTGAAGAGTGAATTTTGAGGTAGAGTCAGCCACTTCATTGCATCAATAACAGTCGTTCAGGTTACAAAGTTAATCAATACTGACTGTCTTTAATCAAAAGAAGACCTATAAGCAGTTCAAGGTATCAAAAGACTAATTTAAGCGACTTGCTGCTGAAATCTATTTGCTGAAGAAGATGAAATTTCAGTCAGTCACAGTAGGTAGGACTAAAGAATATGGTCTAATGCCTTATTATTTAGGTTAGAAATCTGTCACTTAGTACTTATCAGGTGAAGTAAGAATCAACTTAGTAGGATATCACCTTGAAAAGCTAGGTAGAATATATTGCATTTTGAGATGATGGAGAATATTTATAGCTCAGAAGGATAATTTTAATGGTGTTATGTTCTCTCTAGAATGACGACGGAAGCTCCGTGATTAAACAATCTAGCTTAGAGAACTCAATACTATAAGGATTTATAGCAATCAAGGTAACCAAGTCTTAATCGAAAGTAAACACTTTTCTAGCGTAATTAGTGAAGTTGAATTCCAAAGAGTTCGTTTTAAATAGGATCTAAGATTACACATATATGGCTTTTTACAGTATAACTTAGGCAACAGGGACAAAAATGTAGACTACTGCCTATACGCTTCATTTACAAAAAGGAATTTCATAAAAAAGTGGTAAGGCTTTTTTGGCACAACTGGACAACATGTGCAATATCAGTAAATGTTTATAACTCTGTGGTAGGCGTTGCTGGTAAGAATGGATATAAGTAGTATATATTGAGAGGACGGCAGAAATCATAGAGAATTACCAGCAATGGGTAAGAAATCTGCCCAGAGAAATGCGAGAGACAACGCTGGTGTATGAAGAGCAAAAGAAGAAGAAGCAGAAAAGGGAATGAAGTACATTTTGAAAATGACTTTTTGCAAGCGTACAATTTCACAATCGGTCACTTTGCAGGGGAAAAAAACTAGTTAGCAGACTTCTTATCAAGATCAGACGAAGAAAATGAACTCTACCTGAGATCACATACGGTGTACATGCAGTAGAAAAGGACCCATTAAGACTTATTTGTCTTCAGAAGTCGGACCCTATACTTAAGTGATAAAAGCCATAACTGAAGGAACGGAGACAAACAAATCTGTGGGAAATAAAAGTTGAGAACATTGTTGACACAAAAAGAACGCCTATGGGTGAATACTTATGGAATGCTGACTTGGCGAGAAAACGACAAGAGCTGGTTGGTAGTGATTCCTCCCTTCATCTTTGTCTTCTCGTTTCCTACAGCTTCATCTGTAACCGTCATTTGAGCTTTCCGGTCTTATACTATGAAATTTTACCCATACTTCCGTCTCTAATCACTTCATTACTTCTCAATACAGTAGGTTTATCAAGACATTAGTGTTCTAGAAATTGGAAATACCAGTAACGGTTGAAGAAGAGATTTGTGTTGTTGGAGTAGATTTATTTGGTTGAGTAGGCTAAGGATAAAAATTATCCTGAACAGTCCCCCAGCAACACAATCAAATTTACGAAGTCAGTAATTTTTAAGGTGAATAACTTGTAGATAGCTTTCAACACAAAGTTGATAAATCACTGAAAATCAAGAAATACTAGGCAATATAGATTATGTGAGGACTAAGGTTTTACTAAAACGTCCACACTCCGACAGGTGTTTACTACGCTATCCTTTAACTTGAAGTCTAATTCACAGAGCAGTGTTGAATGCTACATTCTCATTGTTGCTAACGTCCAAAGGAAGTTCATACAGCATTTGTGTGTTCTAAAGTCCGGGCACGATACCGGTTTGGAACCAGTGCCCTTCAATGTCTCTTTGTATACACCAGTTTGCTAATGAGTAAGGACCTAAACAATACTCAGCATTGCTTAGACGGAGTCTAAAAATATTTCCATGTAAATATGCTTTGATCTCGTTTGTGCTTATATTTCTCTATGCAAAATGGATTACCAACAAAATATCGAGGCTTGAGTAGATTAAATATACCTATTGTATCATTCAGAACACAAATCTCAGCAGAATTACATATTTTGTGCTAAAGTCTCATCAGGCTCAACCTGTAAATGTCATAATTTCAACATAAAGAAATAAACACAGATATCATGTAGTTACGAACAGCTAAGAAAAAAATTTTGAATTAAAAATTACGTGACACTTACGAGGATCCCGACAAAATCTTACCCCTTGTGACAAATGATCAATGTACTGTTTTCGCAATTTGAATTATGAATTAGTTCAATTTGTATATAAAGCTAACTGGAACTACCACTCCGGAATGACACAGAGAGAACAAGGATTGCAATTGTAGTAGGTTCCAAAATCAGGTCACGCAACCTCATTCACAGTTTATTAAGTAGCTGTACTTACACTAACAGTTACAGTAGCATAGACTCAATCATACTTTAATGACAACCAATCAAACTATGGTATAACTCAGTTATAGAGCAACAATAAACAGCGAGAACATTGTCAGACATGGTTTGACTAGACGTAAGCACATATCTGCCGAGACTGTGACAATTTATCGCAGTCACATGCATTATGAATCCTTGCAAAAGGTGGATTTCTTCGTGCACTTTAGGGTTGATTTTGACTAGACGCCATCGCATAGAGCTTGTGACAGTTTTTCTTTCGCTTTTAATCAACCAGGTGGGTAGTTATAAACATTAGATTCCATGTATCTAGTATATCTCAACATCCATCTCAAAACAAAACAGATAACTTTTTAATAGTTTGGACATTCAGTAACTGAATCTCAGTTCGACGCATCAAATTGAGGATAAACAGAGGTAGCGCGTTTAATTCAATAACTGTAAATTGTAAGCATGTCGTTGAATAAACAAGCACATAATCACTTCTATTCACTGTTAGCACAAAATATCTAAATATAACTCCAGAAAGTATGTAAGTCGTTTGGTGTTTTCTTAAAAATCATTAAGTATCTCATTCGCAGAAATCATTTGTCACCTGTATATATTCACTGAAGACAAAGACGAATATTCGTACATTGACATACCGCCTCAGTGGATTCCTCAATGTTCAAATTATTACAATGATGCGATTTAGGCGTCACAAGAAAATGGAGTTGACGAACGATTATTTTAAGGCGTTCGAACAGCAAACTGCTTCATGGTTAATCAAGAAAAATGACCTCATAAAACAACGATGAAATTGTTGTAGTTTACAATCATAAAAGAGATTTAATATGAAAAATATTCTGCAACTACTGATAATATAATGAAATGGCATCATAAACTAGAAATTTTTGTGCCTGAAAGAAAAGCGTTTACAGTCAGAAGAATGTTAATGATGGATCATGGCTAGCAGCGGGATCCAGGATGCGCATTTCGTCCTGTTTGGGACTCGTCAGCTGGATGTACCTGCTTCCCAGTGAGTGTTGTTCCCACTGGGATTCGGACTCGGGGGCGATCGCTCTACACGCCAGCACGTTATCCACTACACCAAGCCACGATAGCCACTTCTTGTGCGACGGGTATCATAAAAAAACAATCATACTAGTCAGAAGAGTGTTTAATTACATCCCTCACCATGTTCATGTTCAATGCATTTGTAATCATCACAAGAAGAAGCAGTAATATTTTCTCAGCGACATTCTCACTACTCATAAGTAACATATAATTAGCACAATTTCTTGATCGACTGGTTGTCTTATTTACTCAAGGTGGAAGTTTGCATTCAATCCCATTTTAGCTTATACTTTCTTTGATGTTATATCGCTTTGAATGCTAGTGAACCAATTCATATCATTATTCCATGTAGTTGATTCTCTACAACAAATTTTGGTAACATTAGAAAAAACATTTTGCAGATAACCATGAATCCATTGTATGTCGTCACCTTATTCTTTTCAACTATGTAGAAGCTATGAATTCATTAGAGATATCTTTCGAGAGAGAAATAAATATCATACACATAATTCACTTATCAAGATGATAATCCATTGATGAAAGATAATGAAGACATTGATACAGATTAAGGTAGTTCAAATGAAATAATTTTTGATTACTAACATCGAAGTTATCTTACGTTTATGTAGCCAGATGATAATCTGGCTACATGTGACTAGTCAAAGAATAAATAGAAAGTATTACGTAAGTGCATGTGATGAGTTAATAACGTAAATATTCTGGTCAAAATAATTTTGCATGGATTAAGGTCAAGTGAGTCTGGGTTAAGCAGTAAACTTGTGGAGATGAAATAGGAATTGATTGTGAAAGAGGATAAAAACAGGCTTTTACAAGGGGTTATACTGAATGACAAAACAAATCAATGGCTACCATGGAATTGGAAGCCGACAACTGCCTCTTTTGGGATGTATAAATTCGGTTTAATTCTTTTGATGGCAATCGCTTCTGAGAATTTAAGCATTCATTGTTTTGTTTGTTAAATATTCTAAATGCGTTGGACATCATGTCGTGTGTTCATCAGATGTTTAGTGAAACTCGTTTAATACACTTAAGCTCCTTTAATCTGAATTTCTTTGAAATGTGTTCATGAAATCTAGTCTCAGCCCTCCTCTCTATTCGTCCAAAATACGTGCCTATAAATAGGTAGATACAATTTGATGATACATGGGGCAGAAACTTGTCAGCTTTCGGTTGTTGTAGTGAACCCTGTTTTACATACGGAAACTAATTCAGCTGCTGGAAAGGTGATTTTAAGTGCAGTTGTTATCCCTTTATTAACCCTGTTCATGAGTTATTCCCCCTTGAGAGTCAAATGGAGGAACACGGGTTTTTTCTTGGAATTATCAAGTACACTTGCTTCCGCTGTTCCCATTTTGACCTTATCTATAAATCTTTTAGGGTAAACATTTTCTTTCACATATCTGTCGATGAACTGAATTTCCTCAATCAGTTTGTCTGATAAACAGTTTCTTTGGCCATTTGAAATATTGTTTTAAGTAGTTCTTGCTTGTAACTCAAAGAAAAGAAACTGTTAACATGGAGATACTATCAATTCCATGTTTTTTTTTCTGTAGGCAGATCTCTGACACGAAATCTAGTCTCAGCCTTCCTGAACACATTTCAAAGAAATTCAGATTAAAGGAGCTTAAGTGTATTAAACGAGTTTCACTAAACATCTGATGAACACACGACATGATGTCCAACGCATTTAGAATATTTAACAAACAAAACAATGAATGCTTAAATTCTCAGAAGCGATTGCCATCAAAAGAATTAAACCGAATTTATACATCCCAAAAGAGGCAGTTGTCGGCTTCCAATTCCATGGTAGCCATTGATTTGTTTTGTCATTCAGTATAACCCCTTGTAAAAGCCTGTTTTTATCCTCTTTCACAATCAATTCCTATTTCATCTCCACAAGTTTACTGCTTAACCCAGACTCACTTGACCTTAATCCATGCAAAATTATTTTGACCAGAATATTTACGTTATTAACTCATCACATGCACTTACGTAATACTTTCTATTTATTCTTTGACTAGTCACATGTAGCCAGATTATCATCTGGCTACATAAACGTAAGATAACTTCGATGTTAGTAATCAAAAATTATTTCATTTGAACTACCTTAATCTGTATCAATGTCTTCATTATCTTTCATCAATGGATTATCATCTTGATAAGTGAATTATGTGTATGATATTTATTTCTCTCTCGAAAGATATCTCTAATGAATTCATAGCTTCTACATAGTTGAAAAGAATAAGGTGACGACATACAATGGATTCATGGTTATCTGCAAAACTTGTTATACTAGCTTTGCGGAAACTAGATTATTATAAAACATAGAACCACTAGTTTGTCGTAGCGATAAAATTAGATATAAGCATCTAGACCATAGTTTTTACGACTGTCCTGGAAGAAGTCAAGCGCTGAGTCTCATTTAATCATTATATAGGAATATAGTTCAATATTTTCCTAGCGTGTTTTGGAAAACCAAAACAAGATATTTCTGAACGTTTTGCTTTGGAAGCCTCAGCTTCTTCAGTAGAATATATGGTCTTTTATGAACATTATAATATATAGTCAAGTTATATATGAAATATCTAGTGAATGTAAGTCACTGGTTAGGTTGTTTTCTGTTCAACCTGAGTAATTAGGACTCGTCGTTACAAGTTCACATTTGCTATTGTCATTTGTCAACGAAAATATAGGATACTCAAAGTGTGTGTGTGTGGGTATGTGTGCTTATGTATGTTTTAGAATACGTGTTGTTTCTTACACTTTTGTTCGTGAACTGTCAACAATTGTCATTGTTATTAAAGCTACAATTAGAAACGGTTATCATTAATGGTTTTCTTGGACTCATGTTTGCCAAATAGATGATAAATCTATTCCTTCTTTTCTATTAACAACATTTGATATTGTCAAAATATGCAGGGCCTCGGAAGTTAATTTTCCTTTATGTGAATGGAAACCTTTTCCCAATATGTCTATATTTTCAAAGTCAAACATAGGTTCACTTTCGATTGCATGCATAGCCAAATCTTTTAAGTCATCTTGATTCCTTGGTGGATGTTTTTCACATAACTTATGTTCATTCACCGTAACTTTTAAGGGTGTACAACTTTCTCCAACATAATTAGTTTCACATTCCAAACATTTAATTTTGTAAACACAGTTGTTCTGCGTCATTTTAGGAATTGTATTTTTCACTTTGAGACTTATACTCTTTGAATCTGTTCAGAATCACCTTTCCTATATGGTATCGTAATAGATGATTCCCAAAATTTTGTTGTACCTTTATTATTAGTAGTAGTATTTACTGTTTTATTCGTTTGGTCCATAATGTTGTTCGAGAACTTTTTTAGGTATCCATTTTCCACTAAAATATGTTTTATTCTACAGATTTCATTTTTCAAATCACTAGGGACGGTTATAATGTTTTTCGCTCTGTTTAGAAGGGTTTAATGAGACATTAGCTTTCATGTTAGTTGGATGATCCGAATCGAAGACTAAAATATTTACCGGAATGTGTTGGTTTTCTGTATATTTTTTATACTGAGTTTAACTTCAGTCTTTTTGGGATAAGACAATCTAAAAAAATTAGAGTCCTGTCTTTAAATTCTATTTCACTAGTGAATTTAATGGAATTTGAAATAGAATTTATATGTTCTAAAAATGTCTATTGGTTTACTTTCCTAAGAATGACAAACGTGTCCTCCATATATTTAAACCAAATCCTAGGTTAGCATTGGATACTTCTTAATACTCTCTCTTCCAAAGCCTTCATATAGAAATTCACCACTATTGGAGATGCTGGGGAACCCATTGCAACTTTATTCGACTGGTGGTAGATTCTATCTCAAGACGTGAAATATGCTGATTCTATGCATAGCTTCAGTGATTTTATAAAATCCACTGTTGAAAGCGGACATTCAGATATTACATCTTGGTTATTAATAATTGCAATTCTTATAATATCTAAACGTTCACATATTGGTATACTAGTGAGAAGAGAAACTACATCAAAACTTGCCATCATTAGTAATCATGATAGAAGTACTCAGCTCCACAAGATCAAATAAACTGATATACGTAAGTTGACCAATGCTTTAGCTTGTCCTTTGCATAATGACTAGTGAGTTTTTAATGGGAGAATGAGATGCTAGGATCAACAAGAAAGACGTTTCGGGTTGTAGGTCTTAATAACAGTTTCCTGACTATGTCTATGGCATTCTGACACTCGAATTTTGGGGTGCAACATCAGTTACCTCTTTGAAGAAAGGTATGTATGTATATTCAAAGACATTTTTTGCTTTGTAGAATTAAAACTTTTTTTTATGGCTCTTGACGCTTTTTTCTCGATTATGTATTCTGTACACATCTAACTGATTCATAAGGAAAGTGAAGGCATGATGTTTCTCGCGTCAACCTAAGGGAACTCAATTGTGAAACTTATTAAAGTGACCGTTCCAAGTGGACTTTGCATACATTTATATGTGAATTGAAGTTTAGTGCTCTCTTCAAAGTTGAATTTCAAGAAAAATTGAAATTTTGAGTTAGTCATTTTAGTTGTAAAGTGAGGTTGATAGGATAATGAGCATTATTGAAAGTATAAAACTGGTTTTCTAGATTCATATTTCCATCAGAGATAATAAAGGTAATATGTATCTATCTATTATCCTAATTCTATTACTGCTGCAACCAATACTTTGACACCCGCTCTGATTAGCGACCTCGATAGGTCGATAGGTCTGACAGAATTTGTACTACAGACAGATATTTAGCAGAGATTAATGCGTAACTAAACTAAGCTAATTAAACATAACTAAACAGTGGCCGTGTGCATAACGCTTAGACGTTTGAAGCGGTGGGTACTGGCTTCGGGTTTCAGTGGGAACATCACTCACTGGTGTCCAGGTGCATCCAGCTGACTAGTCCCAAATAGGACAAAACGAGCGTCCTGGATTCCACCACTAGTCACCAAGATCAATCAGTATACTTAATATTTTTCGATTTCATCTTAATCAAAATGTGTATTTATACACTTTTCAGTGAGTCATCGTGTTGTCCGAGGAATGGATGATAAATCGTAGGCTGAATCGCGATAAGGTACCAAAATGTAGACGCGAATGGAAAAAGGCGATAATTTACCGTATCATATAGTGCACAAGGAACCCGACTGTAAAACATAATCCACTGCTGCTACTACTGACGATCGATTCATAGCATGATAGGTTAAAAGTGACAAGGATATAAACGAACAAATGGAACTGAAACAAATATATATATACATACATTGCGAATAAAATAAATACGTACCCATTTTCTCTAATGACTCCTCGTACATTAAACAAGCTAGTGCCATGTACTGATTAACTCCACGTAAATATAATGCTCTATCATTATTTAAAATAATCGTAGCGCCAGTTTGTTCAGAGACAGGTGGATCAACAAAATTAGAACGAGGACTGGAGACATGGAAAAGTGAGACAAGGATTTGTTAAAATTTAAAGTCTATTCAAGACAAGTATGATAAACTTATATAACGTAAGTTTCCTGATACATGTATGGACTATTCAACAATAACTTTAAAATTCCATGTTTCATGAACAGTTAATCACTAGGTCTGATTGCTTCTGAATGTATTCAGCGATTTCAGGCTTTTCTGGAGATTTAGAGTGAAAGTACTACAAGAATTATTAAATCTAAATGTTCACAAAATGTAGTTCGTGGAACAATAATCGCTTTCGGTTAATCAATGTGCAGTTATATTATGAAATCTATGTATAAAAGGTCAGAAGATATGCATAGTAATCTCAAAATTCATACATAAGTTTAACCAACGATATATCACAAAAGTAAACAGTGTGAAAATCATTACAAATTGTGAACTATTACAACTAACAAGCAAAAGGTACTTGTATGGAATAAATAAATGTTATGAATGATGAGATATGTAGGATATTCAAGGAGATAAAGGATTCCAACTCTTGATTTCTAACATTTCGATGACGTCACTCACCAAACAACTAAGACATTCAGTTGATTATATCACAAACTGATTTATTCTTCCGACTGCTTTCATCATCTACAGAAGCTACAGTCATTGTTGCAGATTTATAAGTCTATCAACTGGCTTATTATCCTTGTATAAGCCTTAATATTTATCCCCACAAGTAGCCACTTAATGGAAACACAATACGAGGAGTAATATTTTGGAATATATCAGTAGTTGGACATCTACAGCCTTATGTCTACCACAGTCAACAGGCATACGTGACAACCATAAATTATTGCATAATGGAAGACTAAGTCACAACGCATTTCATTGACTTCATTAGGAATTGGTTTCAAATGAATTCACTGTATGAAATTCATTCGTTAGTTGCGATCGTCCAATCAATATATATGATAATGTCGCCTATCTAATCAAAAAGCATATACTTCCTTTACTCTCCTTAATAATTACTACAGTAAGCTTAGGTTAATGACACTCCTGGTTGGTAGGAGTCGATGGATCGCGTTATGTATATAGCAGGTGGTTGAGGTTCAGGATTTCTATTGGCCAGTTCAAAATAGAATCGCATATTGCAGCTGATATAAAATAGACGCGGGTCACGAATTGCAGAAAAATATGTACCATGTTCCCTTGCATTGAAGTGATTATTACACTGAGGTTTCTCCACAAACGATGAATTTTGTCTAGCCAAAAGTTTCGACACTGTTGAACTTGTCATTATTTGTAGGTATGCTTGTAATTTTACGTTGTTTTACTGGATCGAATTGTTCGGCCTCTATTGGCACATGGGTTTCTATGTAGACGCCTCGATATTACCTGAATATTTATTATGATAATTTGCTTGGTTGTGGCTAGCAGAAGTCGAACAATTCGATCCAGTAAAGCAACGGAAAATTGCAAGCATACCAACAAATAGTAATAACTAAATACCCGTTGTACAAGAGGCGGCTATCGTGCCTCTGTGGCCTAGTGGACAACGGTAAGGCGTTTAAAGCGATGGGAACGATGTTCAAGTCGCAGTGGAAACAACATCACTCACTGAGGGGCACGTACATCCAGCTGATAAGTCCCAAATAGGATGAGGGGCGCGTCCGAGATTCCTCTGCTAGCCACAACCAAGTAAATTATCATACTACTAAACTTGATTAAAGAAAAACTTAATTCTGGGCATTCACATAGGATATTTCATGACAAGTTTTTTACTAATACGGTTCTCAAAGTATTTAAAATAAAGGGTAGATTTCAGTGCATTGATCGAACCAACTAAATACACTTTATCTCAACTATTACGTGCGATTTTGTATGTATAACTACTACACTGCTACATACTTTTAACGCCAATAATGCCAGTTTTTCTGATTCATTATCTGTTATATCTCTCAAATAAAGTCCTCCTGATAACTTTTATATCATTCAATTATGCCAGGTCAGTATCTATTACACCGATTTCGTACTTCACTTCTTTAGCAAGCGTTCTCCAGTCTTCAAACTGTCATTTCGCCTTCTCTTTATACTACTTAATGTTAATAAGTAGTATTACTCGTGTTCATTCGCTTTGTTGCCCTACACGCATCTATAGGCATTGATTCTTATTAAAATATATTTTGTTGAGCGTGATAACATTTTAGCGTATTAACGTATCTCGTTATTCCCTAACTTTACCGTATCCTTTCTAGTTTCTTTTACAAGCGTCATATCATTCCTTAAACCACTGTTCGCCTAAAGCTTTTCACAAAACCTAGTGGCGCACCTTCGATTCTTGACAGTAATTTGATTTTGACACGACCCTTTCCTGATTACTTCGTTCACTGACGTACAAATAAATCAGCACATAGACCCCTCACGACTCAAGGTCCATAACTTTATGAGTTGTTATTGTAACTTGTTAATACGGTACCGTGTTTCAGACAAATGTCGCTTTCTTGACTACAGAAATTTAGGCGTTACCCAGGCGTTTAACTTTTGACCCACAAAGACATCAATTTAACGTTTACTTCCCAATTTCTCGATGGAATCCACGGTAATGCTCAAAGAGTATGAATTAAGACTAGTTAGAATAATAAATAAAGTTAGATCAAATGCAAAGTGCAGTCTCGCTTTTACAGGTATATGGGGTAAGATATCTAGCCATCAGCGAAGGACAGTGTGGTTTGCCAAATTTGAAATAGGCTTTTTGTGTTCTTGCTAAGATTTCATCAGTAATCAATTTCAGGGTCAATTGATTCTATCACACTTCACTCCTCATCATCCTTAAACTCTCTAGAAACGCATAAATGTGACGAACGATGCGCAGTGATTAAAGTCATTATTGACACTAAATAGTTATTTAGTAATCATTTGCGCATATGCTGTTAAGTTTATACTAATTGACTTGAGTAACCACCTACAACAGAAGGAAAGTAACTTCACACATCACTATCGAGGATAACCTGTTTATAGCATACCACTAAACAATTTGAGAACAGATTATCTTGGAGGCATATGAATACAAGAACTTGCTGCGATCTATTGTATTTGACCACTTTATCGAATAACCAGTTTTTGCTTAGTACATTAATATTAATGATAAGATGCAGCAGTGAAACGTTTATTAACTCCTGAAGGTGGTAAGAATACTCACAGGCATCCTCTCTACACGTTGTTATGTTTAGAGGGAGGAATATTAAAACTAGACAACGCAGTAGTACAACTGACAGATACACCGTTTACTACCCAGTGACAAACTCATGTAAATACTGTAAGTCATAAAGGAGAGCAGTTGGGGATTTAATTAGCTTAGTGTCAAATTTCTTGACTTTATTAAAAAATGATGCAAGTTAGAATCTCTGAGATAAAAAAAAACGTAAGTTTCTTCAAGGTCACAGATATACCCTGCTGATGCTTAAGTGTAGGCTGAAAGAGATAGACTGTGTATTGAGAAGCGCTTAATACAATTCGATACCCAATAATTAGACAGATAAACTAGAATCAATTTCTGAGCCTCAATCCCACCAATGATGAGTAAGAAAAGGATAAAGCAGGAGACCCTACGCGTTTATTATTACTCTGAACTGATGATAATGTGGGAAAAATATCAAGCACAATTATATGATTCTTTCACATGATTCATGGATCAACCATTCAGATAACAAGTTTATAGAGTTACATTTAGCATTCTGTGGACGTTCAACTTTCCTGAAATGGTGTGATTGAAAATAGTTAGCTTTTCAGCATTTTCAGGTCAAATTTTTCAGAAATAGCGATGCTTTCCACAAAAAGTAGGCATGTATATGTAGTTAGCCATCATGTTTCTTTACACATCTACATTTCCAAAGTTCGGTTCAAATCTATCTAACCGCATATATTCCTTCAAATATACTGCTCTTCTAGACAGTTCCAAATGCCTAGACGTGTAGTTTAGTTGTCAGTAACTATAAGTTATGTAAGGTAATGATCAAGGTCATATTTACACACATGTTTGATAAAGCTGACTGTGTGTTGTGCCAAGCAGCAGCACAATGGGTTCTGAATATATCATCAGTTATCCATTCAAATGAGAATGTTACAACTTCTCCAACTTAACGACTTCATCAGAACAGTGATATTCACAACACTAGCATTCTGTTGCAGTACGTCATAAATGAATTGACAGGGAAAGCCTACAAGAGTTATACTTATGTATACAAATACAAGTCTGGCAATCGTCTTAGATAATCTTACCAATAATTAATGAGTAACTTTAAAGGCCACTCTAGCAACTGATGAAACAACAAATCACGTTTCTCTATTCTATGGAAAATTGTCTTCTCAGTCAAAATACTGCAACCTGATTGGTTATTCTGGCAGTTGTTAGGGTGACCTTTAAAGTCGTTCTAACTAATCAGTCGCTGCCTTTTAATTTCACTCCATTGGGATAAAAGTGAGAGAATATGGGCGTGGAAGCTAGTTTGAGGATGACGGACAGACAATCCCAGCCCTCTTATTCCCATGAAAGTCAAGTGAAACCCTGAGTGACGTGGTTAGGATCTGGGTCTGGTAGCTCGGAAGAGTAACAGACCAGCGTTTTAAATCCCAGTTTGACACAAATGTGCACTTCTTTTCAATCATTACCCTCGTTGTACAAATTGAATTTCAAAAACCATGCGAAAATAATTGTTCTATGCTTTTTAATGTGTAGTTGATACAGCAATAAGAAATAAGATAGTACAGTTTAAAAGCAAGTATAATCAATCACCAACTCACGTGTAAATTGCTGCTACATCAACAACAACATCAATCATATCACAGCATAATTCATAGGTTTGCATATCCACTGCATTAGAATCTGTTGCCAAATAGATTTTGCTGGCAACGTCAAAGAGAAAAGCCTTATCCACCATGGAATTCTTCAAGATTTGAACACAGAAAAGAACACAATGTTAGTTTATGTATTATACGTTTGCATACACTACTTATTAGTTTCAGTAGTTGTTTAAAGAGGGTTAGTGTTGAAACGACTGTGAGTCTGGATCATAATTAAAAAAGTAAACAGGAAGTTCAATCTATACCAAAGATAACTATTTTAGTAACTTTATACTTCGAGTTCTTTGAAAATTCTCATTACAATTCAGAAGACAGTTTAATGAACAAGGAATATACTTTTCGACAACTTCTTTCTCAGATCCTACAGTTCGATATCCATATTGTTTAACCACTGAGTGTGTGTTAACAACGGTGAAATTTCTCTACAACAGTCAGTCTTGATTAATAACTAGCCTAAGAGATGTCTTCGAAAATGGTGCATATGAAAAGTGATATCAGGATCAAAAATATGACTGATGAAATTCATTTCAAAATAATTCATTAATTATGCAGGCGATAAATATGTTCGAACACCGCTCGACCTACTTAGGTATGTCTAGCCAGGTAGTATCTTTAGTCTGCACACAATAGGTGTAACTCACTACCTACTGCACGGACATTCATATAGTTGCTGAGTGGATCTAGGTTTCGGATATTAGAGAGTTGTTATTCAGCATAAATTATTATGAAGAGTACCGAATGCAATAATACCAGTTGATGATTGTGGCTCAAGGTCAAAATCAACTCTAGTGAAAATAATATTTCAAGTTGTACGAATACATAGGGACTTTACATTCACCAACATCACAAACTACAAAGCTCCTCTGATGAAGATGTCTTATTTTTGAACAGAACTGTAGCTGTGACCATACTGTCTTGTATAACTAAACAATATAGACTCACATTAAGAGTTTGTTCATGATCACAGAAGCTAATTTTATTAGTTACGAACTGTTAAATGAATATTTTAAACACTAACCGACATTCAAAAATAGATTCATAAGATAAAAAGCTTATTGGAGATTTTCCAATAAGGTAAAATACTAATGAAAAACTTAGTCACGTCAAGATAACAGAAGTTAATTAACCATGTAAAAGATGAAAATTCACCGTTTATGAAAGAGAGCTATTGTAACTACACATCTGTTTAAACAAAGTTCGATGAGCTAAATTCAAGTGTTTTTGGGAAAAAATCTTCATCTCTATCAGTTTTCTTTATTCAGAAGTAGACCGAGTAATGACTAACCTAATTAGTCATAAAATTGTACAGACAGCTACTAAACCAACAATCCAAAGGACTTTGTTTACATATTAGCTCGAATACAAAAAGGCCTTTAAGTATTCAGTAAGTTACTTCATCTCTAGCACCAGTGAACAAATTCGACTACCCATCAGACGACAAATATAATCTGTAGCAGTCCACTGTGTCTCATTTCACGACTGTAAGACTCAGTCATTGAAAGTAGGAGATATGAAGAAGTTACGGGTTTTGAACACAAGCATTTCCCCAACACTGCTCGCGCATGCTGGAATCACATGAACAATGTCAAGGTTAAGCGCAGATTACTACATAACAAAAAAAGGTCAATCTATGAAGGTTGAGAACAGACTGAGATGGATTCAACACGTTTTGTGAATCCTGGGGCACCCAGTTATATGGGCGTGGGATCTTAGCCACAATAGGAAAGGTTGGAAGGAAACTGAAGGTGGCAAAGGTTCATGAAGTATTTGAATTCCAGTTTCAGCCGTGTAGAATGCTTGTTGGGGTTATCGAGACGATGAAATAAATGAATGATAATTTGACTCTAAATCTTCCACAGCAGTCTAGATACATATACTTTTTATCACCTTTAAAATTTGAAATATTTTCATTAACTTCTCTCCACTTTTTCCTCCAATTTTCAAACATTTGTATTCCTTAATATCGCTCTTTTTCTTTGCATGCTGCTGTGAAGTGTAGGAACTTGAACGGATGCACTTCTATGCTAGATTCCATGTTGACCCGTCTGTCTGGATTGTTCACAAATTCACATATACCAGTCTGTAGTTAATGGAGCATGTCAAGCTACTTAAATGCACGGTATTAAAGTGGTTTATTCAATGCATGAGGTTGCCGTACTTAATAATCATTTTAAAAACTCTTCTTAACTGAGTGATCTAAAGTTTAACTTGATAATAACGACAGGCTTAACCAGTTAACCAATAGGTGGCCTTCAGTTGTTACTTTTTGTCCACTGCTAGTTGTATTCTAAATAACTCGGAATCACGTCTATTTCCTCTGATATATTTGGTGTGTCCGTCAGTTTTTATTCACGAAATAACATTAAGTTGATTGTCATTTGTTTTGTCTTTTGAAAGTTGTTCATTTACGCAGCTGGGCAAAAACAATGCGGCATAATAACATTGTATTTACACCTGATCGTTAAAATCCGGTCTAATTTCCTCAATAAATGGCAAAATTCTATTACGCTAATTGGAGTATTTACTTTTAGACAAGTATGATTTGACACAAAAAATCTTCGTTCATATTATACACAACTAAATGCCTAAAATACTTAGCAAAGAATTGTAAGTTACTTAAATCCCAATAAGTAATAAACATTAGGTACTTACTGAAATAAATATATTCAACAAATGCTCAAATGCATCCAAATAGGGGATTAATTTTTGTACCACTTTACTAAATGCCTCGAAGATTGAATGATCATATATCGTAGTTAAATGGAATCTTTTAAACAGAAAATAAGAAACAAACTATTATGACCCAGGTAATAGTCACCTTCTAGTTGCTTTCAAAAAATTCAATAACAAAACAACATTTTAAAGGAAGATTCCTGTACTGGACAATGAATCACATCAACAGTATGACGGTTCATGGATTACCCGACTACCGAAACCCCGATGTGGTTAGCCAAGGTCGAAACTGTGACTCACTGCTTTGATACACTTACATTTACTCGGTATAAATTTCAAAAAGGTAAGGAATGTGAAAGAAGTAAGATTTAATGAATCCAGGAACTCTAAAGTAATTCGTCAGCTGGTTAATATATATAGTGCATTACATGAATACATAACACACCGAGACATCAATTAAGGCGTAGCATTATAAGAAGTAAAACTTGGGCACTGTGATAGATTGTATTTCCATTTTAGTTTTCGTTTATTAGATGTGTCACACAGTGAAATAGTACTGTTTACTGGATAACGTGGAAGCAGAGAGATGAACAGCCACTAAAGGTGAAGTGGAATGTAAATAGGTCCGGAACGATTCTTAGATCGAGGAAACATATTGTCCTGCTAAGCTTATGCTCCCCAGCACCAATAAATAGGTATGTTCACAATTCCAGAAAGACAAGCCATCAATCAGAATATGTGCGTCAGTTTGAACCTGTTTGTGGAATAAAATACACAATTCCTACGGCAAAGTGTTTTTCTACCTGCATGATGGAATATCTAAATAGGTGAAATATAAAAAAGCGGTTAGATGCTTTAAAATATGACTAGACATACAATGCTAATATGCTTTAAGCACATATTTTCCTACTTCCGCTGCAGAAATTGATCAATCCCCACCAATCACCTATTAAATCACTGCCCACTGCTTATTAGTGACTTGTATCAAGATAATCTTCCCGACGTCCCGATGTGAAGCTGTGACCCCAGATATCAACCAAGTTGGATATAGGAACAAATGTTCACCCCATATCAATGGGGTGAACAGTATTTGGTGTTATGACAGGAGTGGCTGAATGATAAAGTGATCGCCGAGAGACCTGGAAATCTTCAACTCAATCGCTCACGGGTTCGTAAGTGTGTACTACTGAGGAGTCCCAAACAAAAACGAAACAGCTATTCATTGCCTTCAGTTTTTCAATGTGTGTTCAAATGATGTCAATCTGTAAAGAAAACTCTATGAAACCAATCAGTTCTCAAAAAATCACCAATGGAATTCAAAATCTAGTTACCATTGATATGACTCAGAAATATTTGACAAATCCAGAAGTAGTATTTTAACATATGCATATTGTTCGCTTACCCTATACTTATTCCAGCATTTGATGGTTGTTCACAGAGTAAATCTTCTAAGACACCGGTTACACGTTGTGTAATGTCTCGCTGAATATCCATTTTCTGATCATCCGTTAAACAATCAACTTTATGGATAAATACTTCGAATTTAATATTCATATTAAAGCGAAATGCTGACTCTAGAGTGATATGTAAACGAGTTAATGCTTCATGGTAGTCATCCTATAGATTGAAAAAGATGAGTATAGTAAAAGTTTAAAAATAGGAATATATACAGAAATGAAAACAACTCACGCGTACAGTACAAACAGGCAGACAGACGAAATCAACGTAGAATCTGGCACACAAGTGTGTTAGTTCAAGTAACCATAGCCCACAACAGTAAGCTAAGAACATGTGGACAAAAAAGACTGATATTGAAGTCGACAAAAGTGTATGGGAGGAGAAAAAACTTGAAAATGACGGTTGATAAAGCACCCAAACTTTAGAATACATCAAAGAGAGAATATGTTGTCGTCACTGTGACCGATTTCCGGCCGTGTCACCAAGATACTTCAACCACTGATTCCTATTGTCTTGCGGACCTCAATCAGGCAGTCTGCATCTCCAAATACGACTTAAAACAACAGTCAGAGACTTCATCAACTGGTGCCATGTCTTGGTCTGGACACCCTGAACCCTCGAAATGATGGAGAATATTTGTAGCTCAGGTGGATGGCCTTGGTTGTATTGTGTTCTCTGAGCTGGGTTGTTTAATCGTGAAGCTTTCATCGCCTTGCTAGACGACATCATCAGCACTAACTTCAGTATGATGTCGTCTAGCAAGGCGATAAAAGCTTTACGATTAAACAACCCAGCTCAGAGAACACAATACAACCAAGACCCTGAACCCTCGTCCAACCTAATCCAGCTTCCCCTAGCTTTCATGCCGAAGTATCTCGGTATGGTATGCGCAACACATGTCTGAGCTACCACCTCAGACGACGAAGGTTCACAACCTCACCAATCGAGTTGTCTATCTCGCCTATTACCCTTCGCCTGACCTCAGCAATGGTCGCATGGTAATCCCACCAAACGCTAGCAATGCTACAAAGACACCTATGACCAAAAACCTGTAGTCATTTCACGTCTTCTACATTTCACGAACATATCTCACAATTGTTTAATAGGACAGAACGGACTGCAGGCAATACACTCTTCTTTCAATATGTAGTCGGATATCTCTCCGGCGCCAGAGATGATGCGAGTTGACACGTGTTGGACGGGCCTTTTGTATTCGAGCTGAGATTTCCTCAGTAACCACCCCGTTCGGGTTGATAAAGCTCCCGAAGTAGGTGAAGTGGTCGACACATGCCACTACTTCACTTCCTATCTTTAAATTGGGACCTGGTGTAGACTAGTCGTGAAGCGTCATTTCACATTCAATAGGTACGAAGTGCATGCGAAATATATTTAGATTTCTACTCGATGCGTTCTTCATCTTCGCCTAACAGAACAATGTTGTTTGAGTACTCCAAGTCAACCAGGCTTTCTTCAGACAGTAGATCAATCCCTCTGAAGTCAGAGGCACCTAAGGTTATGTCGTCCATTAGTACATCTATAACAAAATCAAACGCTTACGGAACACATTATAGTGAGACTGAATGATACGGCGATTATTATGATCGTCGTATTGAGGCGGCTGTTTCACACAATTAGAACTATGGTCTATTCTATCATATGACTCGACAGTTTCTACCACTGTAGACAATTTTAGGTATATCAAGGTAAAGTGAAGCTATGAAATAAGTCCGTCTTAAGATAGTATTCATTACAAATGGAAATCAGTTGGGGAATCACTAAAAACTAGAGTTATTGTCCAGTTGGTTCGTTCTTACATAGGACTCCTCAGTAGTGCACACTCATGAACTAATGAAGTATGAAATATAGAACTGTCAGAGTTTGCAGCATGCATACTGCCATTTAGCCAGTGAGTTAAAATACAGCAGTTTACGAATCCGCAATTTTGTCAGTTCATTATATAGCACGACCATCATCTGATGTTATCCGTATATATTTGTCTTCCTCAGTCAATCCCCACAAACTACTAGTTGTGTAAACGTATTTGAAGCTGAACTTAAGGTTTAGGGTAAGAAATATGAATCACAAGATAACAATTACAAAATACATTTGAAATGGTTTGATCATCCCGTGTATAACTTTCGCGATATGCAATGTCAGTTAGGGTTAGAGTAAAATCGAAATCTTATAAGGGGAAAAATTGAGGCACAGAGTAATTGTCTGAAGTCAGTAACGATCATTTTGAATAGTAGTCTCCCTAACTGGAAACAACTTCGGACTTGTCACTGTAACTGAACAACAATGTGAAGGTTTATACTCTAGACAATGAGCCACACCTGTGTTAGAGCTGGCAATACTACCTGCGTACTCAATCTTCGGTAGGGTGGACAAGGTTAGGACTCGGCTAGTTTAAACTATCTACTTGACCTTACACTTGTCGCATAGAATTTGGTAGATTACATTTTTTTTTGCTGAATTGGATCTACCGAAAAATTCATGAGGTAGCTGTGGGGAATCCTCTAGGTTCTGTCTTGGCGGATACATTCAAAGCCAACCAACGGAATACTAAATCTAAAGATACAATCGGTGAAATGACACTTTTCACCAGGTACGTCGACGTCCCTTCCACTGTTTGTAATGCATCTCATTTGTTATAACGTCTCAATAAAGCTAAAAAACAATATAAAATTCACCATAAATACAAAATGATAGAAAGTTTAACTTACTGGATATTGCCGTACAACATAGGACAGATGGTACGCTCCGAAAGTCCATTCATTGAAAGAGTACGTGGAAAGTTACCTACTTGAATTTTAACAGCTATTGTCCGGTTAACTACACACGAGGATTAGATTAAACCCTATTTCACAAAGTTAGTTCCTGTGCATCAAACATTGTCCACTCTAAAATCGATAGGTGTCCTTCAACTGTGTATATCAATCTACGTGTAGCTGCCGAAGCAGACACACTGGAAGAAAAAGAGTGTACCTTAGATTTTCTGAACACATTCCGAAGAGACTACTATTGGGGGAAGTAACATTTTGAACAGTGGAAACACTCGGCACCTAATGGACACTGGATATCAAGCAGACGCCTCTAATTCCTTCAAGATAATAAACAGATAGATTCCCCACAGCTACCTCACCAATTTTTCGGCAGATCCAATTCAGCACAAAAAATGTAATCTACTAAATTCCATGCAATGACTGTAAGGTCAAGTACATAGGTCAAACTAGCTGATCGGGGTTAGTTAGATTAACGAAACATAGGAATTTGGCTAAATATAGAATTACAGACCCGAATAAGATCAATAATCCAGAAAAAAAAATCGACTATTGCAATGGATGAATTAACACATAACCACACAATAGGGTGGGGGTTAAACCACTTCAATGAAATCCAATATAGTTAGGTGGAGAGAGAGACTGGTTACTCAATCTTTGTTCATCGAATCAACACTCAACACATGTAACAGGAATGACGCAACACCTACACAAAATATATGAAGAATGTTACTACCACTAAAAACAAAGGATATCAGGTGATAGAACTTTAAAAGTCGGATGTCGAACGCTGTAGGATTACAGTGACATGTTTATGAGTAATATTTTATGCTCGAAACCTGGTCATCAAGCAAATAATACTGTATTACTGTGTACAATATCAAGTAAAAAAAATGTAATATGGAATTTACTCCAATTATAATTAGTACTAATGTTTTTGGTCTGTTTTTTTTAACCTAATAATCGTCATCTTAATCGACTGTATGTTTTCCTCATACACATTATGATAATGAAATCTTTTTCTAGCTCTAGAATGGGCCCACTACTTTGCTCTTAAACATTCCTTTTCGATTATCTGGATTTCAGCGATGACTTGTGTCTGATGTCACACAAACTGGAAGATCTACAGGCGAAAACTAACAAGTTGACAGAAGAGGCAGCGAAGACGGGACTTCAAGTGAATATAGAGAAGACAGAGGTGATGAAGGTACCGCACCACCACCACCAACAACAACAAACTCCAATCACCATCAACGGGAGAAACTTAAAGGAAGTAACCTCCTTCACCTATCTAGGCAGTACTGTTTCAATTACAGGCGGCACAGACGAAGATGTCAAAGTCAGAATCGAAAACGCGAGACAGGTGTTCATTGGCCTGAAACCAGTGTGGAGATCTTCTGCACTGCACTCAGCATATGGAACAAGACCCGGATTTTCAACACCAACGTCAAGTCAGTGCTTCTGTATGGTTCAGAGACTTGGCGCGTTACGAAAGGCATTCCCACTAAACTACAGACATTCATCAACAACTGCTTACGCTGGCTCGCTACTGAAGATCAGATGGCCAGAAAGAATAAGCAACAAAGAACTCTGGGAACGAACCAACCAAGAACCTATCACCCAACAAATATGCAGAAGGAAGTGGAGATGGATTGGGCATACACTGAGAAGGCCGATTGGGGACAGACATCACGCGTCAGGCCAGTTGCTCGAGTGGAATCCCGATGGGAAGCGACGAGTTGGACGTCCGAGGCAAGGGTGACATGGAGGAGATCGTACGAGGAGGAAATAAGAGTTTCTGGGCTGTCGTGGAGCCAGGTTCAAAAGATTTCACAGAACAGAGTTCACTGGAGACGTGCTAGTGAAGCCCTATGTTCCATTAGGAAACCAAGGGACCAATAATAATAATAATAGTTAATGATAGACCCATCTGTTTGTTTGCTATTACCATAAACAGGTATGTTTAGCTGTTGGAAATGATTCGTCGAGAAGTTTTTTCGCTGAACTGTTTTGTGTTTTCCTCTTATGTAAGTGCAGACACTTTTTCAGGTAAAACAGACAAGCATGTTTATAAGCTAACCCGTCTTCAATAATCGTATTATAGAGAGAGAAGAGTTGGAGTCAGGTGGAGGCATAAGGATTAATTCTAACACCAGCAAACCAATCGACCACGTAATATGCATCAAAAACACCTCGATGGTAAGCCTCCTAGCTTCGTGGCCAAATTGCAAAATGATAGATAGAATTCGGTGAAGACTCAGAACTAGACAAAATGAAAATGGTTGCTCTCCAGTAACCAATCACTGCATCTAGTCCAGTCCTAATGGAAGTCAATCGCGGCTCAAATAGGCCATTGGTAATATCACTGAGTGCAACACCAGGAGTCACGGGTTCCAGCATCGGAGAGGACACTAATTCTCCTGAGATTACGGATACACATTGCTGACGAGTGCCAAGAGACACGGAATCTAGGACCAAAGCTGTCCGACGATTCCCTCTATCCAACCAACACCCATCAAACTGCACCGTGATGGTGAGCGTCGTAGCTTGGTGGACACATTGGTCTAGACAGTTGACTTTCAACCAGCGGGACAAGGGTTCAAACCCTACTCCGCATGTGAAAGTTTGGATAGTATCGCTACCACTCTTACACTAGGTGTGGCTAGTTGCGTAGTGTATGAACATACATATGGTAGCTCAGGTAGTTTAATTTTTCACATTAAATTGTGTCTAGTGAGATGTAAATAGCAATGAATGTAAGAAAAGGATCAAATATTGCACCATCTAGATGCATCAATCAGTCGATATCAACATGAGACTTGATAATAAGGCTTAACGGTTCAATATGTCGAACTTTACATTGCCACATCAAGACACAAAGCAACAAGAAGATAGAGACAGAAATACTAGAATGGTAGTCACAGCGAGTCATAGAAAAGAGAAAAGTGATTAAAGGAAATAACAAAGTATGGTACAGTAGTTAAGATGGAGGCAATGTATGCATATATATGCACTACTGAGGTTGAATCCGAATTATATCCTCCAAAGTTTTCAACGGCCGATCTTGGTTGTGTGTTAGATACCAGTCTAGAGACTTATATTTTTCTACATAGCTCAGGCCAACACTTACAGATTACATAAACTGATGGTATATTTTAATCCAACTCTGTTTAGTTTTTATTCAACCAAACCCTACTTCAACTAACATGGTGCTTCGGCATAGATGGTGATCAAACATGCGTAATATATGTCCTAGATAACCCAATCGATGAAGGTTTATAACCTTATCAGGGGAATTACCTCTCTAACTTAAATCTCTGCACCTAACCTTCAACATTACTTCGTGTAATGGTTCTACGCCACACAGTCGATGCTACAAAGGAGATAGTGTATTGAGATTTTAGCTAAATCTTGAAGCATATTAGTTTATACCCTTAAACCTTTCTGACATCGCACTTAAAAATTTCACTTTTCGTCATTTAGGGTTCTTCAAGTTGTCCAAGTAACACGATCATGTCACATTTTATCAGATGTGATTTTCATGAAATCAGCAATTTAAAACCCACATAAAGCATGGATAAAAATCATTATCCCTCAGAGGTAATAAAAACACTTAATAGCATTATATCATAAAGGTAATCCTATAATTATTGTGTCATGAGTCACAGTTATGTCGTAGGCAATGACTAAACTACTGCTGTAAACTGAATAAAGGAGAGATTTAAACATATCTATCTGGTTACGAGTCAAGTGACTTCCCACAGGAGATATCGGTTACATTTGCTGAAACAACAATAATTCAACAAGTGATTGTAGCGAAGAAACATCTCTTTCCGATGAAATCCTTTACCTAGCCATAACTGTACATTCGTGAATATCAAATGATAGAAAGGATAGAACACTCTGGAGTTATTCCAGGTCCAGAGGTCAATATAAATTGCATAACAATGAAAGGTTGCGAAATGTCTATAATGGGTTTAGAATGGGGAAATAAACAAAATGATTACAAAATAAAAATGGTTACTTCATAAGGGAATAATCTACAGTGATCGATTCTCTACAACAGCCATGGCGAAGGAAAAGGTTGTACATACTTCTCTTGAACGCATAATGATGGTTTGAACTTCTGAATTGCTAATGCTCTAGCTATGCCAAAGTGTCTTAACTTCACTCTTTTTGAGTGTCTTGGTTGCACGTTGTACAAAATTTCGAAGAACTTATCAAAGAGTCAAGTGTCCAGAGTTTGCTAAGTGTTGTGTTGCGGAGCTGAAGATGTGTTTACGTTCTCCCTTAGTCAGCCAAGTTGGATAGTGTTGGCTGGCGAATTGCATAAGCTGGCGCATGGTACGGCCAATGTACTCGATTTCATACTAGCAAGTAAACTGATATACATAAACTGATGTCACCCAATGCTCTAGATTATTCTTTGCGTACAGACGAATGAGTTTCTGACAGGAGGATATGATTCTGAGATTGGCAGGAAAGATTGTTGCGCTTATGGAACTTTACAGCCTCTTTCTAAGTACATCTGCTGCATTATCTCCCTTGAATTTGAAGTTCAGCAGTAAAAATTTTTCGAAACAGTATGCAAACGTTTCGTGGCGTATTTCGGTTTTAGATTCCTATCTATAGATTTCAGTAGGTATCTATTTTTTATCAGGATTTCTCGTACGTTCCTTATTTCACATTTGATAGTATTCTCCGTGCATATTTTTCGTATTCTTGAGAAGTTTGTACAACCTTTTCCTTCGCCATGGCTGTTGTAGAGAATCGATCACTGTAGATTATTCCCTTATGAAGTAACCATTTTTATTTTGTAATCATTTTGTTTATTTCCTCATTCTAAACCCATTATAGACATTTCGTAACCTTTCATTGTTATGCAATTTATATTGACATCTGAACCTGGAATAACTCCAGAGTGTTCTATCCTTTCTATCAGCTAAGAGAAGCATTTCATAGAAAAAAGAAATCTTTATTGGCTGTAATTATCCTCTTTCTTCTTTTCCTATGACCAAAAAGGTTTTTTCAATAATTCAAGAAATCATGTCATCAAAAAAAGTATAATTAACTATTAACCACTTGGTTAACCTACCTGAGCATCAATTATGAATATAATGGCACAAGAAGCTAAGAATATGGCCTCAGATTGAAATGTTTCGTCACAAAAATCAATGTGACCGGGAAAATCCCATATTTGAAATTTGATAAAAGAACATTCAGAGACATCTAAAAACAGGAATAAAAGATTATATATTATGGAGATGCAACATGGTCGCGTACCATTCTTTTCAATTTTGTGTGTACTTTCCAGGAACAATGTTTCATTAGGTGCCATTTTATGAAATACAACTCGCTGAATTGATGACTTTCCACTTCTATATTGATAACAAGGCGAAAATATTTTGATTATAAAATATAAACTTAAATACGATCAAACCTTCTTAAACCCATTAACAAGATTTTCGGCTTTTCATCAACTTGGCATAGCATATTTTGGGAGATAGGTAAGTGATTGCCACTAGCAGCGGCATTTTTTGGTAACTCGTAGTCATAATTCTCTTGATAACCGGTTGGAATGTAATTTGTTAATTCTGAATATCCTGGTCTGTTGGCTCCATCATTGTTACCATTATTCATTCTAAAACCAGAACGATAAAAACAAAACTTGTAATTGTTGACAAAACCTTGTCACATGATACAAAATTACTACGATCAAACTTGGATGGTTCAAAAATCTCGATAATCCAAAGACAGATATCACTAGAAACTGTCGATAGTTAATTATCCCTAAAAGCAAGAAAGGGTCTAACTGCTGCTTCAATGAAGTTGTGAACTTCTTTATATTAAAAACTGAATCGTCAGGAATATACATGTACACGTTACAGAAGAGCCAATAGGTTTCAGTACAGCGATCTAACTTTTGTACTTGATAAATCAGCAGTTTTGCCTATCACCGATAATTTTAGTTATTACTTGCTTCTTCCCTATGTAAATTAAAAGCTATGTGCAGTTTTACAAAAGGTTTTAAGATAAGTTTTTAGAAGAGGATATAATTGGTGGACGGATAAAAAAACAAACCAACAAAGAACCACACCATTTCCATTCATCAAAATTGAAATGGTGTACCTCTTTGTCAGTTTCTTTGCTGATTTATCTGTGTATCTGTCTACTTACCATTGTATCCCTCCTCTATATTCGCCGGACTTCCCGACTGATATTTGCCACTCAGATGTGGTGATCGGGCTTGCCGATCAAAATGAGCTAGGGAATACTCGTTCCCTTTAGGGCTTATCATACTAAAAAGGACAGTTAAATAATGGTGCAAAATGATAGGGATCCGAGGGTATAGTCGTACTATTGGTTGGACGGTGTTAGAGCAGTAAGATGATTCCCAAGGATAACCAGCAGTGTCGTACTGTTGTTGCCTCTTGTAGGAAAAAGGTGTTAGAAAACGTCGACCCGATAAATAGCACAATAACCCCTGTTCTGTGGTATTAGAAAGAAATAAACTAAAATTTCAAACTTCTGAAAACACCGTGCGAACAACCTCAAGCTCATGTCCGTTGGGCTTTGCGGTCAAGCAGTGACCCTCTATTTCCGAATACCACAAGAAGAAACAGTCTTCCAAGATATGTGTAACCGTGAAATACCAACCGTCCTGAAAACTCTATCAAAACTTAAGGACCATCTGATGACTATCCACCTTCTACATCTTTACATCTTACCATTCATCCACATCTCTCGATGAATATTCCTAAATCATCTTAAATTTTGTTTACTTTGCCAGTTCTTGAAAATAATTTCAGTCCATGGAATAATATCTCTGTTCTCGTGAAACCGTCGCTCCAAACCACACATTAGAGCTTTCATGTCAATATCTTCCTTCAAATCGGTCAGCAGACTGTGCTAGACAAAAAATCTGGCACCTTGAGACATGCGCGTTTGTCGTTTGCTAGGCTCATAGGAACTCGGTGTGGTGATTCGGTTAACACGATACGGTCAATACAGTGGGCCCACAAAAATTCACCCTTAGGATTTCTGCAGATTCAACGGCTAGTCCTTGCTGCCTTGCATTTATAGGTAGAATAATAAGTGCCCAGGCAGAAATTTAACTACTTGACCGGATCCCAGTTGACAGTCATCTACGCCCAGTTCAACTAAACGACACAATGGGAACCACAAAGAATAGTGAAACTCGCAGCCACCCAGTTTTAATCTCTGCTGATGCATCCATTGACCGCAACTCGCGTGAAGTGAAATGTTAATTCTACCACAATAGCTATGAACTACAAATAAAAGCCAAAAACTAAAATTTAGATGTTTTATCAGGTGATATCAATGTAGAAGCGGGTGAGCTAAGTAACGCATGAAAGTAATTCCGTGGCACTTCCGGAATTGCAGCTGAGGGAACGCATAACGGCAATTATCCACAAAAAGAGCGCTAAAACAAAAAACTAGCTCCAGCCAGTAGGAAGATACATCAAATGATGTGGTGTCACCGACCTCAACTTAACATTGGACAATGATAAAGTATATTGCGTTCAGTTCTCGCGGGAGAACGTCGGTGAATAGTAACCTCTGACTTAGCACCAAGTGCTACAGGGGGCAACAGACACGAGCTACATATATGTAGTAAATATCTCAACTGTTTCGGTTGGTGGAGCCAACTATTGGCTGAGACTGACTACCAGACCAGTTTTGAGTAGATAGATCATCGTTACAACCTATGGCCCACTGTGCCGAATCCATTGATTCACACTCTCCTCCTGAAAAGTATTTGTAGGTGACAGCTTTCCGTTTCGCTACTGGTCATTGCTACCAGATCTTGTCGTCACATCTTTATAACTGCAGTCATATTAAGTTGAGGTGACTTGTACTCCAACGATTATTACAGAAATAAATATACACGTGATTACAAATTGCGTTAATAGTTTTAAACGCGAGTATTCAAGCAATACGCACATTGCCAACTCAAGCACGGAAAACAGATACGTAGCAAAACGAATATGACCAGTTAACCAAATAAGTTGAACTGCTTAGCTAAAGGACCACATTTGCTAAATGAGAGCTGGAAATACTCTCTAAATGCACAAGCTAATTAGACAGTATATTTCTTGATTCACTCGATTTCGCGTGATGGCCAAGTGTCTAGATGTAAGCTCCTACTTTACAAACTACGCAATGCTATTTTTTGCGAATCAAAATAATGATGCAACACATGTTTATACGTGAAAAACCGTTTGAACAATCGGTTGCGAGTAAGACTGATAAGAATGCAGCAAAAATCAAACTACAGATGGCGTGTTTATATATATATATATATATATATATATATATATATATATATATATATAAAATTTATAAGTCAGAGGCTGATAATGAAATGGACTCAAGAGCCCTTGAAATTAGAAGTTCAACGTGGGCAGTGAAAATGAATTAACTTATAAGTACAACGGGTCACTTCTTATGTCACTAGTTTGGATGGGCTATCTCAGCCCTCAGTTGACATTAAACTCGATGTAAGCTCACAATAACAGCAACTCAGTTGATATATTTTATGAAACCCATCAAATATCTGCGTTGTAATGTATCAAATAAACTAAAAATAGGAATCTCAAGAGGTTTTGTACATCTATTTGTGTTTATAACACTAAGTGATAATAATTGGGCAGTGTAAAGTGACTGCATACCTGGAACTCAACAAACGTTTTTGTGTTAATCAGAGGATAATGGATAACGGTGCTTCAGAGGGATATTGCGTTCTAAACGGTGTGGAGATACGAAATATAATTATTGAGGGAAGAATGCTCTAAAAGATTAGAATCAAAATTTATTCAGCAATCTTTATCATATTTGTGCAGTAGGTAAAGAGTCACATCTACTGTGAGGGTTAGTGGTACCGCCTGACTGCTGAAACTCCGAAAGATTGAACAGTGTTCGAACCCGCAACCCACTGGATAAAAGCCGAGTCCTTTAGCCATTGAGTCAAGCGAAAAGTTGGAAATAACCACGAGCAAATTTTACACCTATATCTATCTATTCTCAAGTTAAACCTAATCAAAAAGCGCACCGACACAGACATTTGTAATAATGCTAACCACGTATACAGACCTCACCCTACTTAAATACAAGCCTAAGACCTTTAAGTCGATCTGCAACCAGTGTGTCTCAGGCATGTAGAAACTGAAGAGTGTTGCACAACGTGCAGTCATTGACAAGAAGCAAACTAAAGCAGCATATCATCTGGTGAAGAACAGGAAGATAAGGTGAAAACATTCGCAGTACTCTCAGGAAGATATTGAGGGTGTGTGGTCTAAATGAGCAACTTTGATAAACGAACAACTTACTATTTCCGACCAAGTGAAAACTACTGGTACACCTCGGAACACCGTCCACTCAACACATTAGGAATTTTTACACATACAGTGAAAACAACATAGCAACATCAGATCCGACAACTTTTCGTCATAAGTATAAAAAGTAAATAAAGTACCTTCTTGTCACCTTTCTACAGGTAGCACAAACAGTGAATCTCGCGCTATGAATTCAGCAAACGTCCTTCGGTTTCAGTTATAAGGATAGTGGACTGATTGGCCCATGTTAATCTTCGAAAAATATATCCCATTGAGGACCTATTTTCTTCTTGGACGCGTTGACAGAATGTGGCGATTCTACTTGCTGAGATCGGGAGATGTAGTCGTTGACCACACGACAGGAGAAACGCAAACTTCGTATTGTAGGATTAGTGAACTGCCGTTCTTTGGGTTCTACGTCTGTCTTATTGGAATACGTTCCGAGTTTGGAATAGTCACAATTATGTTCCCGGTTCTGAAAAACCTGAAAGGATAGAGATACGATTAATTGATTAATCTGGTCTCAAGTTAGTATTACTGCATCTGATCTGGGGAAAGCTTCTCCAGTATAGCCCATCAGTACCGTAGGACTCGAGGTGTGCGTCTAGCCTCCTTTAAAGGTATCGGGGGATGGGGCTGTGGCAACTGCTGAAGGGAGGGAATTCCGCAGTTTACAGACTCTAACTGCAAATGAGTTAGCACAGATCTTTGTACGTGCCCTCTCATGCTCTATTCTTAACGGGTGACCCCCCAAGTCGCGTTTCCGACTAAAGCCTAGAAGGGATCTATCGGGACGTAGGGAATCATGGGCGGTGTAGTACGCCATGATCATATCCCCTCTGACCCTCCGGTGTTGTACTGGGTGCAGCTGAAGAGCAACTAAGCGGTCTGGGTACGGTTTGTGCCGTAACCCGTAAGTCGATTCTATCGCGGGTTTCGATTTTCTTGCGATGCCCTCGGAGATGGTGAATCTCAATAGGAATCTCAACAGTAGCGGAGTCCTTATTAAGGATGCGGAGGGCAGGTATGAGATCACCCCGTTTCCTACCGAAAGACAGTGGGGATGGGTTCGGTCGATCCAGTCGCTCCTCATTGGGCATACTCGAAAGGCCCAACAGAAGCTTCGTACCTACTCCTCGAACACGCTTAAGCACGTCTCCATCTGCTTTTAGGCATGGGCTGGCCGCCTGAATGCAGTATTCCAAGTGAGATGTGATGTAAGTAGAGCACAGGATTCCGAACGTGTCCTGATCAAAACTTGAAAGCCCGGCGGATGGACCACAACATTGGAAGTCCTTTGCTGCAGCTGAATATCTTACACCGCATACGAATAGTGCACTTTAGGTTAGACGTTGGATTTTTGTTATGCTTTTAGGTTATCTGGCAGAAATGAAGGTCATGTTTGATGAATGTGTAAAGGCATCATTCAAAAAGAGGAAGACGTGACTCAGCAGGTTCTTCCTCAAAAACGTAGTGCTGGTCAAATTGCTCAAGTGTTTTAAATTGAAGGATCATGTGTACTGAGGGAGGTACCACGGCAGATTCAATGTGTTCTTCGAAGGACGTGCATCTCCAGGTTCATTGAAACGTCAGGACATACCGTATAGACAGTGATAAATAATATTGATAACAACATATCACCTACTCGATGAAACGATCTATTCTTGTTTGTCCATGCTAAATTGAGCATATGTGCACCAAAGGCGTCATAATGCCTTGCATCGGACTCGACGACCCAACTAGGATCTGTTAGTTGTTTAGTAATCACTATGCAAGCTGTTTCACACATGAGGATGGTGTACTAGGCATGCAAATGCCCATTCCACCACACTACGCTCTGGGTAGTGTTTCCTGTACACAGAAAAAGATAGCTGATGCGATTGCTTCAGTAGAGGACTCATACCGCCAGACCCGATGGGATCCCAAATCTACGAATGCGCGATTGCTGAGGACTTGCATGAAGAAAGATGCAGTGGCATTTAAAAATGGCACTCACGAAAAATTGTGATTTGAATACACTTGCACGTTTTAAAGATTCTATTTACAGCAACAGTATTCTAACTTGCGCACATGTCATGCCCACAGTCATATATATATATATATATACTTGAGTTTCATGTGTATATTCTGGTTAAAAATATGCTACTCACCCCATTGTAGCATTGTTTTCTCGAGGGGGCACACACGAAAATGTCTCCATTAGTGGTGGCAACAAGTGGAAAGTATAGTTGAACAAATTGGTTAACGAAGTAGTCCTGATTGCTTTAATCTTGTTCATGGGATGTAGCGGGAAGAGTGCTTCGATTTGCCGGTCAGGGTGTGACATCTCATACGTCTAAGGGACCCATTATACTGAGCGTTGAGGGATATGGTCGTGATTCTTTCAGTATGTTCGGGAGTTTGTAAGAGGATAAGAATCTTCCTAGCATATGACTAGACTGGATGGTTGGGCTGGAAGCTGTGACGTCAAAAGGAGGACGGTCCCATACTTTCAAGCATTTGGTCAAGAAAACGTTAGCTTGGAGGGATGCCCCAAAAGCTTCCTTTTCAACACTGCAAACTTGACTGCGTAGACTGTAGCAACCTACTGATGTGAAACAGACTCTCTCACTAGCTGTAAAGGACGTTTTATGTAAAATCTTGAGGAGAAATATAAGGTTTGTCCTAAGACGTCTCGTCCAAAGTGGTCGTAGATCAAGGGATGTACACCGAGATGCACAACCCCGACCGCATTCGCAACCGAGTAGCCTGGATGTGAGGTATCTCTGGACACCCTCAATCTTAGGTTTGTCATCTATACGGATGCTCCCTGAAATAAACGAGTAGTGTTCTAACAGGGGCCTAACGCATGCTTTGTCTAGCAATAATTTGGCTTCGTGGTTATGAAAGTTATGGATTATACGGTCTAGTAGAATTCCGGACTCACGAGTTTGTGTTGCAATATATTCAGAGAACGTGAGGTCGTTTGAGTAACTGAGCCCTATGTCAAGGACGCTGTGGAGACGAGGTGGGGGGGAATGTTGTGCTTTTCCCGGTGCGATCGCCTCCTTAGGATTTCTGAGACAGCAAATACTTCGAAGGAGGCAGCTAGTCCAGCGGTTCCATCGTTTTTCACCATCTCATGACAATTGCAAATGTAACTAAGGTCATCAAGAGGAGATCTGAGTGCTCCAAAGTGACGATGCTCGAAGTAATTTTTCGAGAATATGTGCAGTCTTTGACAAAAATTCTGCGGTATGGTAATCTTTTTCTACGCGAGATTTTCCATTCTTTCAGAGGGGCCATAATATCAACGCAGGCGGAAAGATTAGAATGCAGTACACTTAATGCCAGTTCCAGATCAACCATGTTAAAGTATGTTCCGCATTCACTACTTCTAATCAACGAACAAGCTAGATCCCAGTCTGTCTTATTACAACTTCTCTACTTTGAATTTGAGAGCTGAGGCAATATGTGTAGTGCCGAGAAGAAGGTAATGGTACTGCACACAACACCTTGTGGTCGCTTCCTGGGGACCTGGAACTAACACATGTTGAAAGAGGACAGATATCTTGACATATAACTGGGTCAAGCTCTTTCTCACCCCTCTTCGGAGTTAGGGTAAATTGTCTCCATTTTAATATATCCAACGTACAAAGAAAACTGTCATATTTGCCTGGGAAGGCGTATGCGTCCAACCTAACTTCCGGTGGATTAAAGTCTCTGCATGCGATCTTGTGGTCACATTGAAGGGAGAATGAGTGTTCAGAAGCATCACTGAGTAAAGACTAGTCTTCGGAGAACATCTCAGGTGCTCTGTATATGCAATTATTCAGTGCAGTTACATCTTTTTAGTGCACTGTGACCCATAGGGAGTCTTTAGTCTTACTTAACACTACATTTTCCAGTCCGAATACATTTAAGGTATTTAGAAGGCATATTAAGCAGCCACCTCTTCCCTTATGGCTCCGGTCACATCTAAAATGTGTGTACATGTCCATACTGATTTTATCACCTCATGTGGTATGATGGCACCATGATTCCACTATTATTATGATGGGTGGTTTGGACAGGAGCGATATTGCTCTTAGTATCGGCAGTTCGCATATAACATACCTAGCATTAATGAGGATAACAGACTTCAAGACTGGTGAAGAGGGTCTGAGGTATGTCATGAACCCGTGTTTGAGTGTGATCTAAGGCCACGTCACACGAGTTATCATTCTATACAGTTTCAGTGGTATGGGTAGGGGATAGTTTTGGCAAGAAAGGGGTAGAATTAGGTAGGGCATTCAGTTCACCCTAAATACGATATGAAAGTGGGGGTATGACGTCCCCGAATGGTCTACCCAGTGCGTGCCCAGTCCACCCCCGCCTTCTTCTGCATACTTGTCGGGCGATGGGTTCTTATTTGGTTCGTTGCCACAGTTCCTTGTTGCTTGTTTCTCCCGGTCACTGGTCTTCAGCATTCAGCGTAGGCAGCAGCCGTTGATGAATGTCTGCAGTTTGTTGGAAATGCTTTTCTCAACGCCTCAAGCCTCTCAACCGTTACATAGAAGCGCTGACTCGACTGACATTAGTATTGAAAATCCGGATCTCATTCACGCTTTACGCTGAGTACAGCGTAGTGCAGGTCTCCGCACAGATTTCAGGTTAACTAAGGGAGGCCTGTCTTCCAGTCTTTCCGATCCTAGTCTTGACAGCCTCATCTGTGCCTTTGCCGCACGTAGTTGAAACGATGCTGTCTAGGCAGGTAGGCGAAACAGCCAACTTACTTCAGATTTCCCTCGCTGATGGTAATCGGTGCTTCTTGTTGTCGTTACTGTTGTCGTCGGTCGGGTATCTTCACCACCTCCGCCTTCCTACCCTCCCCTTACTTCCCCCTTCGCTGCCTCGCCCCTTCTACCGACTTGTTGGTTTCCACCTGCGGATCTCCAAGCTCGTGTGACGCTAGGCATAAATCACCATCAGTGAAATTCGAATCTTTTAGGGTCTCTTCATCGGTCCAGCGTGTGCCCATCTTCTTGCTCCCCACAGTTTGTTGCATGTTTCGGTCGACCACAGTCAGGAATATCATCGGTGATAGTAAGCAGCGACCCTGCCTTACCCTCGTCTTCACTTCAAAGGCATCACTGAGCTTTTCATTGAGTCACTTATCATGTATCGTCATCATCATATAGCTGTTGAGTGAAGTTGATAAGGGTTTGCGG